TATGCAACTTTGAAATCCCATACACGATTTTGTAAAAGTAATTCTCCGACAAAAACGGAAAAATGAGACCAGACACCAAATTCTGCTGCAAATGCGCAGAGTACTTCATTCGAGACATCCGTTCAGATTACTGTATAACCATAATATTGGTAACATTCTGGAATTTTCGCAATATATCAGTCACATAACAGACTAAACTTTATTATCACGTAATGTGATCAAATCCGAAATTGTTGCTCATACAGGGTGAGTCATAACTATTTTGACATAGCCTAAGGGTGGATGGTTTGGTCCAAAATATGGCGATAGGACCTTGATAAAATATTGTTGTGGAAAATGATACAGGGCGTTTCAATCGAAAAAGTATCGACTATAAACACGCACCAAGAATCATTTACTGACAAGAAATGTAATTCACCAGCACCAATTCCCTGACAGTCCCAAGCACACTCTTGATGAATGAAAAAAAAATTGAAATCCCCTTCCGAGACTTGGAACTGTTCAATTGCGTTTTTCTCGAAACGGATGAAAATATCGTTTTCGAACAAGTGCACCAATATTACGTAAAAATAATGTTTATATGATATTTTCTAATCAAAATCATTAGGAAGTTGCGTCAAAAAAAGTTATCAGTTTCATCCTCAGTTATCATTCACGTGGCGCTATGTGTAACAAACTGTAAAACCACACAAAAAATTATACTTGCTGTATAAAATTATGCCTCTGTGCTGATTTTGATAACAATTGATAAATATACAGTGGAATTATTAGCGAAAAACGAAAAAAAATATTCAACTTTAACGCCCTGTATCTTTTTCCACAGCAATACTTCATTGAGGCATATGTATGCATATGCATATAGTTTATGACTCACCCTGTATAACTGTACCAAATTTCATAAAAATCCGTTTACGAATGCAGAAGTTACAGGGGTGTCCTGATACCCTATGTCACCCTGTATTATTGATTAATCCGAGCTGTGACCTCAAGTGTATGAATCGATCAACACCCTTCACGAATCTGTCTCACTTCGACACTCTGCTTCGATGTGCATTGTTTATATACCGAAGTCTACTCAATTCACTGACCCTAGCTCAATTAATTTCTCTTCATTCCTTTCGCCACCAATAAAATGTCTGGTAAATTCAATCAACCCTGTGTTTGGTCTCTCTTTGTAAGAAGCAGACCACAAAGCACTGATGAACAGTTGGACGGTCAACCCAAGTCCTCAACATCCACAGTTTTTCAAGTTCGTAATTATATTTCGCACTGCTATCTATTATTTCAAAGATCATGGAGAAAGCTATAAACATCGAGCTCATGAAATACCTGGAACATTCTGGTATAATCAACGATAGGCAATATGGCTTCCGTCATCAGAGGTCAACTGGTAACCTGCTCGCTATTGAACAATATGCCGTGGCACTTGATATCTCCAAGACATTCGATCGACTCTGGCACCACGGACTCCTCGCCAAGCTTCCATCTTATGGCTTGCTTCTCCAGCTATGTTCTCTGCTACCTGGTTTTCTCTCAAACAAGTCTCTCCATGTAGTGGTCGACGGAGTTTCATCTGACTCTCTTATCATAAAGGCTGGTGTTCCGCAAGGATCAATTCTAGCACCAACACTATTTCAACTCCATATCAAAGATTTGTTGGAAGCAACTTCATGTCCAGTACACAGCTTCGAGGATGGTAGAACCCTCCATACCGCCTTCTCTTCCAGGGCTCCAATTTCAGCCAGGCAAATCAGAAACGAACGAGGGAGAAATGTTGACATCATAAATATGGGCAACAATTCTCGAATGCAAACAGAACATAAGCATGCCTTTTCTCTAGAAAATCCGATCTCTCTGTGCCCAACATAAGCTTGTCAGGAGTAACCATACCTTTGAAGACATCCATTTCGATACTTGGGATTACTATCAGCAATAACCTTTCTTAGGAAAATCACGTGAGATCAATTGTTAAAAGTGCATCCCAAAAACTTGGTTTTCTGTTTCGGGCCAGGAGCTATTTCACTTCCAGTCAGCTGCTTATATGATCTATAAGGTAGAGATCCGACATGTTCTGGAATACGGTTCCCATATTTGGAGTGAATCACCCAAACATAACTTGAAACTGTTGGATGTCCAAAACAGGCAATTCGTCTCGTGGATGATGCCTCGCTCACAAACTTACCCACTTCTCTGGAACACCCTAGAAAAGTTGGCGATCTGGCTCTATTTAATAGATTTTCTCATGGACGATGCTCTTCTGAAATATCAACAATTATTCCTCCCTTGGCAGTCCCCGCGAGATTAACCCGTCGAGTTGAGGCTTCGCACCCCTTCGTGGTCACTTTGGAGACCTACAGAACATCTCTTTCAAAGACTCGTTCATCCAACGAACAGCGAGGCTCTGGAACACTTTGCCAAGGGAGGTGTTCCACGAGGCATATAACCTCCAGAAATTTAAGAAGAACACCAATTCCTACCTTATTTTCCTTGGTTCTCACGATGTACTCTGAACATTACAGGATATCCCTTTTCGTGGGAACCAGATCATAAAAACAAAAACCATGAAATTTAGGGAAAAAAATCGATTTATATTCAAAATGGAAAAGTTGGTGCCGACTTCTGGAACACCCTGTAAAGGTGGGGGACTGAAAATATGTATTATACCTTCTCTAAATTATGTGGTGTTGACAAAGACAACATTCAAATCAATCCATACTGATTAATAGTCAAGAAAAAGTGATGTATTTCAGCTTAATGACGAACTTTTGTCAAATGTAATGTCTCCCTCCATCTCGAAGAAAAAAAAGCCTATTATTGTTAATAGGGAGGAAACAACCCAAACAAGATTAAATCGCAACTCCATGTATAATAAGGCTGTAGATACTAAAGCTATGAACATATATTTGTATTAGCTTGCTTCTGTGCTTATTTACAGAGTAAATGGGAAGGATCTGAAGGAAACTGGGGGAGAGTAAGTCATCATAATATAGTTTCAAATACACGTTGTCATTCATAAACGCATAGATACACCTCAAACTAGAAGACACAAACGACACGAGCATCTTGAAGGAAAACTATTTTCGTAGCAATTCTCGTATTGATAGATGTTTTGTTGCGGAAATGTTCGTGGCAGTCCACCCCATGTACGAGTACATCAGATAGAGAGCTTACACATCTTCTGGCTTGCCGCAAGTTGCTGCCTCGTGGCTTTAATGTTATTTATGTTGGATCGAAGGCCCGCAATCACAATACGTCCATTTGGACTTGACGTTGCAAGAAAATCTCCATCGGTTCTTTGAAAGGAGAATAAACATCACAGAATTCACCTCCGATTTTGAATACCAATCGATATATTCAAAATGTCCATTATAATAATATTTCTCATAAAAGAACGTGATGGAGATTATCTGAATATCTTTGTAGCATTTTTATCTATTTTATTAAATTTGTAGTTGTAAATTGAATCATCTCAAAATTGATATGCTATATACAACAAGAAATCACTCGATAGGATATTTCAAATACTATGTATTTTATTTTGAGATTGAAGTTTTGGCTTTTTCTGCTTTCATTTCATCTAGCAGCCATTTATTCAAGACGCATGTCAGATTGAAAACATTTTAGAATAGATGACAACTAATGAGATTGTGCTAACATTCTATTAATACTCAGCATGCAGGTATGTAACACGTTTATGATGCTTCTGAGAATATGGAAAACTGATTGGATGGTCTTTCCCTGAAACTAGCAATATTCAAATATGTGAAACCTATTTCGAGGTTAACACCAATGAATCATACATTTTTACATTTCAAAGAACTCGAAGCAATTAAAATTCCACATCATCAGTATATTTCTTAGATCAAAGGATGTTTGGAATTCGTCTCTCATTGTTACAAAGGCACTTCACGAAAATAATATGCAATCTCGCTAAAAAGAGGACCTCACCAAAACACAAGTTTTCAAATTCTCTGTCTTTTATGTCGGTCGCTGCTCCCATATTTTACATAATTATACGATTTTCTGGCTGCAACTGCGCTATAAAAACTGAAGCGACAATGAACCACAAAACTGGAAATGGCTGGTATTGCCTTCAGAATATATTGGTTTTATTTACTGATGCCTCTAAGACTCCTCTCAGTATCGAACAATCAAATGGAATGTACTTTCACGTTATCTCCATTTATGCGACTTCTCTTTTGATGCACTGCTTACAATACTGTTAGATTTCAAATCTCCTCAACTTTCTTTTCAATTGACTCGGCCTTCACTTGATGGAAATCCATAGTAAATGTAGAAAACTTCACAAACGATAAGGTTTCTACAAAGTTCTTATTCACACGAAATGTGTTGATAACACGGTAGCTTCTTCAGGTGACAACTGGTGCAGTAAGCTTAACTTACATTGGCTTGCCTAATTTGTATATCCTACTTTGCCAACCTCAAGAAGGATCAGAATTACCTGTGGAAAGACACAATATCTACATTAAAACACTGTCAAGTAGAACTTTTCCAAATTGGAACATCCAGTACAGCGTAGTTTTCGTTCTAGTCAGCGGAGTTCGTAGACTTTAGTTCCTGTAATTTTTGCAAAACGCTTACTGTGCGATACTACCTAGGTAAGCTATACCGCCAGGTAACGGCTATTCCCATTGAGGAACATTGCAAACCTAGCATCGATTTCAAATATGAATAGTACCCGAATCGATAAGCGGGGAGTCAGTCATTTCATTGAATCTAATCGTTCGTGAAGTTTTTTACCGAGTTTTTTAAGTACTCTGCAATCATTTGCAAGCGAAAGCACAAACCACAGCAGATATTTTTCATCTGTTTGCTCGATACGACGTGACATTCAAACCATATTATCGTTGACTGGAAAGACCATCCGAATATAGTGGCGCTTCACTGCTTTCACTTCAACACGCAAATCGGTAAATATGTTCCCCTGGGGGTGAAAAGCAGCTGACCTGACTGACGGTACCTAGTACTCGCTGTTACAGACTGTCGTGGAGGCCTGCCAGAAGAAGAGACAATGCAAGTTCCAGACCAATCCGAAGACCTTCGGCGGCGATCCTTGTCCAGGAATCAGGAAATACGTCGAGGTAGCATACAAATGCAGACCATGTGAGTATATAGCAAAACCTACTATATGTTTCACCTTTAACCGAACGTAAACCTGCTCAAAACCATCATGACCTCTTGGACCAAACATTCAAATCATGGTTCCTAGATTCCCTTCACCATATAGATTTCCAAGAAACATAGATCCTTCGCAAGCCGATGAAAAAACGTCGAATAACTAGGGTTAACTAACACATCAAGATGTCTAAAAATCTAGTAATCTACAACGGGACGACTTCAATACCAACAGTACATTCCCCAATTATATTCTCAATTCTAAAAAGATTTAGAAGTTTTACATGTATGTCAGAAAGGTACCCTTTAGAGTTTCCTTGAATTAACGCTTCTGACAGTTGATGATTTGACACTTGTAATACCAGTCAGCACATCCCTTCGTCGTCAACCTTGGAATATGTTGAACAACACTTCACCAAAAGTTGTTTGTCTATAGAACGGCAAAGTTTTGACATTCCTTGTCAATAGAAATATTTTCAAGAACATTATATATCTAATATCCAAAAGTTTAAAGATAATTCCAATACCTACCTCCTTTCCATATCTTCCCCAGGTACGCACGATTTTCTTCGAACAGCATAGAGATTACCTTTCGTGCGCTGAGATACAAAAAATGTGCCATGGACCGTTGGATATCGCGAGATTATGAGTTTTTGCTCGTTGACGTTTCTGCTTGCCCAAGATGGCGACGTGGAAACATAATTTGAGAATTTCCTCCATTGACAGTGGTTGTTGAACTGTACTAATTTTTCGCCTTAAGTTGTCCCTATTGGGTGTTGGGTTCCCTAAAAACCCTATTTTTATATTTTTGTGAAAATGTTGTACAATCTGTAGAAATGAATATTCATTTCGGTTTTGAAGCTAAGATTTATATTATGGACGTTGAAACAGGAGCTGATTCTACATGGACAGCTAACGATAGAATTAATCGCAAACACGCTCGTCGTTCGATATCCAGATGGCGAAAGTTGAGTTCCACGTTAGTTTACTCTGCTTGAACATTTCCTTTCATATTATCGACACCAAAAATACCAGAATCGTAACGTCACTGCGGACAATAGAGTTATCTATTTCAGTTTCGTCACAATTATTGTCACGTCATATGCCAATTCAACCGAGCTGTTTTTCAAACAGGAATCAACTGTTTCCTGTATCTCTGCTTATTCCGATCGCGCAATTTTTAATCAACGAACATTGACAGAACTTGCGAATCTCTCCTGCCAGTTTGGCAGGCATTCTAGCTGAAAATATCGAAGCTCTAATCCAGAGATGTCCCGTTACCTTCCGAGCCGTCAACCGCAACCTCAATCTAGGTCAATGAAACAAGAGAAAAATCACGCGAACATGTATCCTTCTATCCTAGACATTTTCATGCAGCAGAAACTGGAAACAGAAGTAGGATCTAATGGAGTTTGGTTAAATAGGACATATGAAGGTACCAGCAGTGAGATTATATTCTTTTCTCCGTGCCATCGTCGTCAGAAATATGGTGTTGTCGCAATATCATTCAGTGATACTCGTTAGGGAGTAATGAATATAAAAAGTAAAACACGAATATATTTCCAAAAGACATCAGTATCAGATATAGGATTGTCAAAAAAAAACTGGAATTTGGTTTTAAAGTACTGACAGTGAGTAATAACGTGGGGAATCTCTAACTCTATTGAAAAATATGGGGAAACCCTAACCGTGGCACTTGATATCTCCAGGCATTCCATCGAGCCCGGCACCAAGGACTCCACGCCAAGCTTCCATCTTATGGTTGCCTCCCCAGCTATGTTTCTCTCAAACAGGTCTCTCCATGTAGTGGTCGACGGAGTTTCATCTGACTCTCTTATCATAAATGCTGGTGTTCCGCAAGGATCAATTCTAGCACCAACACTATTTCTACTCCATATCAACAACAACGATTTGTTGGAAGCAACTTCATGTCCAGTACACAGCTCCGCGGATGATAGTACCCTTCATACCGCCTTCTCTTCCAGGGCTCCAATACCATCCAGGTAAATCAGAAACGAACGAGGAAGAAATGTTAACAACATAAACATGGACTTGGCAACAATTCTCGAATGGGGATCCAATAACTTGGTAGACTTCAATGCAAGCAAAACACAAGCATGCTTCTTCTCTAGAAAAGCCGATCTCACTGTGCCCAACATGAGCTTGTCAGGAGTAACCATACCTTTGAAGACATCCATTTCGATGCTTGGTATTACTATCAGCAATAACCTTCCTTGGGAAAATCACGTGAGATCAAATGCTTAAAGTGCATCCCAAAAACTTGTTTTTTTGTTTCGGGCCAGGAGCTATTTCACTTCCAGTCAGCTGCTTATGATCTATCAGGCACAGATTCGACCTGTCCTGGAATACTGTTCCCATATTTGGAGTGCAGCACCCAAACATAAAAGGAGAAAATTTCCAACACCTCTACCTCCTCTCCCTATCCTCAGTAGGTACGCACGATATTCCACGAGCATTATAGGAATTTCCTTCCGTGCGTTCCAAGAGATGAAAAAATGGTGTAACTCCATCAATTTCAAACAAGATTAAAATCGATAATATCAGGCCTTCAGTAAAATAGTTTTCATTGAAAAATAGAATTCTGTTTTTTTTTCTGGATAACCCTATACAGGGTGATCATTGGAATTGGGAAAGTGAAATAACGGCTTCGCTGTTTGAGATCGATCGATAAACAAAATTTTTTGTGATGGTCTAGGCTCATGAGCAGCACATTTCCAAAATATTTGGCATTATACAGGGTGACTCAAAAATGCGTGACGTATCAAAGTTGTACTTCTTCTTATGGAACTCCCTCTATTTCATTGCATTTTAGGATTCTCCTTTGTGAGCTGATTCCATCAATGCATCACACTTTGGGTCTAGCGAGCATGATCACAAAGATATAGGGTGTTCAAAATAGAGATTTTTCAACTATAGGATTTTTTGTCTCGAAACTATTCATTATTGGTCAAAACGGCTTACATGTCCCTATATCAACTTTCGATTTACTATCTACTGATATTTAATTTGAACGAATACAGGGTGGTCCCTAATTCTAAATTTTGAATTACCCTGTATTCGTCTAAATTGAATATCAGTAGATAGTGAATCAAAAGTTGAGATGGAGATATCTGAGCCGTTCTCACCAATAATTAATAGTTTTGAAATCCTGGAAAAAAAAACTCAATTTTGAACACTCTATATCTGTGTAATCATTATCGCGTGTGATATATTGATGGAATCCGCTCACAAAAGATAATCTGAAAATGCAATAAAATACAGGGTGTCCTGTAATGAAAAGTATAACTTTGATACGCCACGCACACATGCTGCTCATGCGCATAGGACCATCACAAAATTTTTTTATTCATCTATCTCAAACAGCGAAGCCGTTATATCACTTTCCCATTTCCATGACTCACCGTGTATCTCGACGTAATTCTGATTGCATATCAATATGGGTTTTCTAAGGTAGATACTATGAAGGAAGACTCACAGAAAGTTTGGAAGTGTTACGATCAATCAATCAGTCAAACATCGCGACGTATGTGTATTTTGGAAAAAATGGTCTCTAGAGATCTACTTTCATTTCCGCAGACGAATTTCGAAGTAAAGTGGCCTGCGAAAACGAGAGGATCCAGCTGAAGTGCAATCCGAACTCCAGGGTGGCAGTATACAGCGCCAGTTATGGCAGGACGGAATACGAGAGTATCCAATGCCCGCAACCACAAGGCGTTCCAGAAGAAAGTAAGTTAATTGTGTTTTTTCATTATTCAATTTTTTCCGCCCACCAGAAGAATTCTCGGGAAAGGAACTTGCGCTGGCTTTTATTAGAAACCACCAGATGCCATGCGCGATGTCTGATTCTGAAAACATAATCCCTGTATTACCTATATGAGAGATGTATAGAAATTCAACTGGTGGGCTCACTCTTCAATTGTTTCGTCAGACTAACTCTCGATATGGAACAATTGCAAGCGAGTTTTGGACGTGGGGTTCAGGTATTTGCGATAGAGGCGCCATAATCGGAAAATCGTTCAAAACCTTGGTTCTGTGAGGGATGAATCTATTTCCATCATTGTTCTGTGGTCGAATAAATACTGTGCTCAACATTTTCATTCAAATTTCAATTTGAAATAGAAGCAAGAAATCTTTTTTGTAGCCGATTTTAATAAGCTTCATTTCCTTCATGACATGAACCTATTTGAAGCATGAAATCTGATGAATTTCCTCTTTGAAGAACCAGAACAAAGAATGTATCAACTATTGAAGTAGACCAATATCGAAAATCATAATATGCAGATATGGTAACTGGTACTCACCTTAGAATTTATTCACACCAGTTCACTCTAATATTTCAAATCACTGAAATAATACTGTTGTAGAACAGAGATTTTCTTTTTTATATGGTGGATTAGGTATTATACACAAAATTTAGAAACTACGGAACACGTCCCTAACGAACACTTGACCCCAATCTCAGAAATAACCATTTTTTCGGCTCAAGAATATTTTTGACATATTGACGTTTCGATCCTTTGATCAGGAACCAGTTCACTGCTCTGATCCAAATCATATACGTATCCAAATATTTATCGGTCGGTGATATGTTTCCTGTAAATATGGATTGAAACCAGGATGAGCATAGCGAGATTTACCCACGTCAAGTATGTTTATCAAAGGTTTATCAGAGTAGGCGCCATCGAGAAACTTGCAAACGACCTTCAATAGGGAGCAAGCGCACCAGTTAAATTTCTATACATCTCTCCTATATGTATATTGTAGTAATTTATTGATGCAAGAAATACTGCAGTCTATAGCATAAGTCATAAAAGAAGGTACAACCTAATTAAAATCTCAGAATTCCTCTAGTCAAAATACATGAATGAAAATCTGACACATAAGTCAAAACATAATAACAAACACTAAGGACAATCACAGCTAAAGCTGTGTCTATTTCTACAACTTATATTACATACACACACAATTATATAGTCATCATTTTAGGAAACATAGAAATATACACAAAGTTGCAAAGATTATAATTAGTACGATTTTTCATTGTCAACCAGTTCAGTTCTATGATTTTGCTAGAGACAAGATCATATTTTCTTAATGAGTAGACCAAGTCTACAACAGAAGTTCTGTCCTGTCTGTTCCCGATTCAGATCAAATTTATTTGAAAGATTGCTGTACACAATATCACCATAGTTGATCCGGGATAAGACCAACGGTTCTGTGAGAAGTTTCCTGATTGATTGGCTGAAATAATGTTTATTTCAGTAAATAAGTTTAAGTGTACCAAACGATTTTTTAAGCAAATCATTCAAATGCAAATCAAATTTTAGGTCAGAGTCGAAAGTAATACCCAGGTTTTCAATGGAATTCACAACAGGTAGGATGGTATCATCATATACAATTATGATTGAAATTTATACAATTGAGTCTTATTCGTCTGGCGTAGATTTCAGCGATAAAAAAAGCTGTGATTTCAGTGAGTGATACCTATATGTATATCTGTCGACTAGGCTACTGGATCAAATTGAGTAAACAAAGTATTAGGTGGCAATGAGATATTTTGCATCAAGGCTAGCTTCTTGTTTATCGACAAAACAATGGGTTCGTTCGTAAATTGGTTTATAACGTACTTTGATGGCTTGCAAAACTTCAACGCAATTTCTCAACAACTTCCTAGTTCGCTCCGCTGCGCAAGTAAACAACTGCAATTTGTTCACAGAAAATGTCATCCGATAGTCATTACCATTCTCGTTAAAATGATAGTTAGTTAATAATAATCATATATGCGCACATACCGAATATATAGAGTCTTGAATTATGTTCATGAGGTAGGGGAAATTTTGGAACCTATGTTGGGAGAAATGTTGACAACATAAATATGGACTTGGCAACAATTCTCGAATGGGGATCCAATAACCTTTCTTGGGAAAATCACGTGAGATCAATTGCTAAAAGTGCATACCAAAAACTTGGTTTTCTGTTTCGGGCCAGGACCTATTTTACTTCCAGTCAGCTGCTTATGATCTATAAGGCACAAATTCGACCTGTCCTGGAATACTGTTTCCATATTTCGAGTGCAGCACCCAAACATACCCTGAAACTGTTGAATTCTGTCAAAAAAGGGGTAATTCGTCTCATGGGGGATGCCTCGCTCACAAAATCACTCACTTGTCTAGAACACCTTAAAAAAGTTGGCGATCTGGCTCTATTTTATACATATTTTCATGGACGATGCTTTTCTGAAATATCAACAACTGTTCTTCCCTTGGCAGTCCCTGCGAGATTAACCCGTCGAGTTGGGGCTTCGCACCCCTTCGTGGTCACTTTGAAGATCTGCAAAACATCTCTTTCCAAAGACTCGTTTATCCAACGAACAGCGAGGCTCTTGAACAAATTGCCAAGAGAGGTGTTTCCCGAGGCGTATAACCTCCAGAAATTTAAGAAGAACACCAATTCCTACCTTATTTCCCTTGGTTCTCACGATGTTTTCTGAACATCACAGGATATCCCTTTTCGTGAGAACCAGAACATAAAAAAAATATAACCCTGATTCACAATGAATCAAAAGAAAGAATTTTGACGATCCTGTTAGTTGTTAATGATATTGCGCTGAATCTGAATTGTGTGTAGATGTGCTGCATATAGGCTATCTTGTTTTTATCATACTTCCAAAACTGTTATGTCAGAAGTTTGTAAAACTTCACTCATGCTTAGGAGTTTCCCAAAATTATGAAAGTTCGCTCCCCTTAAAACATTACGCAGACATTATGTGAAATTTGTATCAACCCCATACCAACGCAGATCCGCAAATAATAAGTTTCTCCTTTGATGTTTGAAAGTTCAAACAAAGTTCGCGTATTCAACTTAACTTCAAATATCGGCGTAACTTCCACAATGTCATGTCTCGTCCCCTGATCGCAACAAGCACAAAGCTAACCCCTTTGCTGAACCAATTTGAACGAGGCAGATTAAAATTAATCAGAATCATCGATGCCGAACCCTGAAAAGTTTGCAGTTAACGTTTGCAGTGACTGCTCTGAGTTGTCTTTCAGCTCCCTGGAATCAATTATACACGTGGGACCCGTGGGAAGCTAATGCAATGAATATAAACTGACCCAAATTGAATTCGCGCAGGTGCACGACTTATGAGTGTGCGCAGTTATAGCAACAATCAGCAAACACAATTATGCAAAATTGACATCATCTCAACTTATTCTTCTGTGGGAAAATCAGAATGCAGAATTGGTTGGTTCGAAAATTAAATTTTTTGAGGGATTTTCAATAGTTTCTTCTATGTTGCTCAAGGTGTGTTGCTGCTCTCCCAATGTAAGTGAATGGGTATACCGTCATTCTTTTTCTATCATCTCAACTAATTTTCCTATGGGAGAATCAAAGTGAGGAATTGGTTGATTCGAGAATTTCATTTTTTGAGAGATTTTCAATGGCTCCTTCTACAGGGTGATTCATTAAGAACGGGAAATCTCTGAACTACAGATAGTAAACACAAAGATAATGCGATTTAGCCCAATATGTCTAATGAGAATGTTGCTGGTTTAGGAAATACAGGGTGTTCTAGGGGGAGATTTGTTTCAAAATTTCACAATAACTTTGTTAGTTTCAACAGCATGAACATGAAATCTTGTATTTCTAGGTTTTCTGACATGAGGAATATGAATTTGCAACTTATTTTGTGATTGCTCATAGAGGGCGCTTGTGGCACTCTGTTACTTCGATAATTTACATCATATCTTCAATGTCAATTCATTGATGATCAAAATAAGTGGATAATCTGAAAGCTCGTTCAATTTCACATAAAAAATGTACTCTTTATCAAACTGTCTAACGGTTTTTGTGTTATTCGAGATACATTTTCCACTTATGACATTTCAATAATTTTATTTATTACAGTCAGAATGGGAAATCTCTGAACGACAGATAAGTAAACACCCAAATATGAAGATTTCGCCCAAAATGCTTCATAAAAATATTGCTTGTTTGAGAGAGTGGTTAAGGAGAAGGTTTTATTTCAAAATATCAGTTTTCTGAGGCATTTCCAATGTTTTCGTCTATATTACTCATCTTCCAAAGTATGTTGCTCCTCTCCCAAAGTATGTGAGTCAATGTGTATAGTGCCATTATTTTCCTATCATACCAACTTACTCTTCTGTGGGAAAATCAATTTGAAGAATTGGTTGATTCGAAATTTTTTTTTTTTTGAGGGATTCTCAATAGTTTCTTCTTCCATGGTATGTTACTCCTCTTACAAGGTATATAGGTCAATGTTCATACAGTCATTCTTTTTCTCTCATTCTGTTTGCAAATCAAGGTGGAGAATTGATTGGTTCGAAAATTTTATTTTTTGAGGTATTTTCAATCGTTTTTTCCAAATTGCTTCATTCTCGAGTCAATGTTAATGCAGTCATTTCTTTCTTCTTTCATTTATACATACTCATCTGTGTGAAAATCAAGGTGAGGAATTGATTCATCATTCATCAACATGCGAATTATGTCCAATTTCTGCAATATGCTCACTCAGAAGTGAACCTTTTCTACTGTGTCTTTCGGTTCACGTACATTCCTAAATCCATTGGCAGCAGAATTATTCTTCGATTATTTCCAGCATGCCTAGTTAGCTACGCGACAGAAACAGTCATGCAACTCTGCCACGGAAAAAGAAGCTGCGACCTATCGGCAGACATCAGCACATTCGGCAGTCCTTGCAAACCTGAATCTAGGATGTACCTGAAGGTCGTATACACGTGTGGTGAGTATATAAGACACACGATCCGGAACATTAGAGCCCACGAATTCAATCCTACCCGAAACGGTCCATTGTCAGGCTTTGAGACCAATCACAACGTTAAAAGATTCACGCGTGCGTGATACGGCTACACCTTTTCCAACTGTGCGCTCCTAGACACAGTATATTATCCTTAAAAAATAATATACTGTGTCCTAGAATCCTCGAGCGTCTCACTCACAACCGCACCAACCCTATGCACAAATCACACATGCTACATTTTTTTCACATACCTCAATTTTTAAATAAGCGATTGGTGCAGTGAGTTTCGGATTGCCACTTTTGACTCCTGAGGTGCCGGTTTCAATCCTTGCGTTGGTCATATTTTCATTTGTTCTCTCAAGTGCCTTTTCAAAAAATATATACTTTGTAGGAAGAAGGTTCATTTTGGCTGAGTTAGGCTAGATGTTCTCGCAAAATCCCATTGTTACACAAAATGACGCGTTTCCTAACTGGTTTCGTAAATATCCATTTCCTTCGTTTTATAATGTCTTCAAAATTCAAAATACACCAACATCCACGATTGGAAACAACATTGGAATCACATTGGAACACACCGCCAAGGCGAAAATCGTTCTGATTGGTCTGAAATTCCAACTATGGACCGTTTCTGGTAGGACTGAATTCGTGCCATAAGAGCTACCGCACCTGACGTCACAATATGGCGGGTACGTCATCAGCCGAATGGGGAACAAGCTGATACCGTTTTCCACTCGAACTTTTTCCACACTCAATGTTTTTGGTATTCAATTGTCAAATGTACTATAAGGATATAGAATGTAATAAAGAACTGGTATACACTAAGTACTTAATTTTAGTCCAGTGGAAACCGGGATAAGTGCACTATGTGTTCTTTTATTATGGCTTGTTTCCACATGATGGCCACGAATTCTTACGTCATATGACATCATGCCAGTACGTTTCTTGGACGTTTTCAGTGCCCAGAAGGGTTCTAAAGGACCAATACGAAGGGGTCTTGGAACCCGACGAAACTGCAGAAGAGCCATCTAACGACGAAGACGACGATTTCGAGACATACGACGCTGGAAACGAGTACATAAGGGAGTCAGCTGCCTCTCCTCCCGCCCCCAACATTGAAGGGGTTGCCAAAGATAATTTCACCAAAGATCTCGATGACATAAGTTCGAAACTCCCTCCTTACAAGTCCAACGGGCTCGATTTTGGTAAGTTTCGCATGTTGGTGCTTTTTTGATTGTGGTTAATGGAGTTACCTATACCTAGTTCGAAACCGTGTATGGGCATTCATTCAATTTCAAGAATAGTTAACCTAGCTAATGATCGATATACTCATTCAAGCTATTGCTGTTGCCATGTTGAATTTGGAATTTCTCTTCGAAAAAGTCCTAGATCCAAAAGATAACGGAGTTGTATATTTTTTCCGCCAAAATTCACAGATTGCTAATCGCCAAAATCAAAAAACTGCTAATTTTGCAATGAAAACCATCTATGCGCACGTAGAATTTCACGAGGATTCTGAATCTATACATATTTCTGATCCAAAAGGTAACGGAGTTGTAAATTTTTTCCGCCAAATTCAAAAATTGATAATTTCATATTGAACACCGTAAATATAAAATGTCACGAGGATTCCGAATCTATACATATTTTTGTCCTAGATCCAAAGGATAACGGAGTTATAAATGTTTTTCGCCAAAATTCAAAAATTGCTAATTTTAATATACATCGAAAAGGAATATTCTCAGATATAATTATGAACATAGAAATACATTGAGAATTCGCATTTTCTACGTGATGAAAATATCAATTCTTTCTCAGTTTACTCAACAGAAAACAACTACTTTCCTGGCTATATGCCAAAAAGAGAGCATGAAAATGAGAATTGACATAATCGCTCAAATCGGATAAAATAATATGATGTATTATGATATAAAAATATAACTTACCAATATGTTCAGTATTGAAATGAAAATTGAAATGTATATGAGAAGTATACTTGTATAAACTCTGGTCTTGATGAGCTTGGAACTTCCGAAACAATTATTCGTATCAGTGATATGGAAATTATATCTCTCACAAATAGGTTATATGACTTCACTCGAATAAATTCATTTCGGATATCAAATCCTCATCAGTAACCTGAAGTCCAGTTATTCTTTCAGCCATTCTTCATGATATACACGATTTTCATCCCCCTATAATATACACTTTTTTGTCCTAGATCCGAAGGATAGCAAATTTGCCGCTGCTCCTGCCAATTTTCAAAAGCTGCTCATTGATCAATGAAAAACTATTTAATCTAACATGAAATATGATGAGGATTTGATCTAAACCCTCGTAGATATAACGGGTTGCCCATTTTTTTTAGAAAACCTTCCTCTCACCCTTTCGCTTAATTTCCGGAAGTGTTCATCGGGAATGTTATTACCTACCTAAACCATTTGGCATAGTCGCTTCTTCATTTAATCACTAAGCCGCCTACGAGGATTGAATATAACACACAGACACCCTCACTATCATAAGATAAATTTCGGCTTAACTTCAATTATTTTTCTCTTCACACGCTCATTTCGCGTCATCTTATTGTGGCACGGTCCGCTTGCAACAAATGATATTTCTTATCTTTCTCGACTTTTTCGCCGCTGACAACCTAAAATCCCGTTATCAGGATAAAGCGGGATTTTGTTTTCCCAGAGAGGTTGGAGCTTAAAGGAAGTTGGAAGCCATAGCAGCACAATAAGATAATATTTTCAATAAGAAAGAATTCAGGATGAAGTGGAAATAACCAACTAGTTTCAAATACATTAGGAGATAGCTATTTTGAACCACTCCATCAGCAACAATGATCAGATGGTCTTGAAAGTCCTAAATATACTGGTCCACGGGAAGAATTAACAAAAATAGTTATTTATACAACAAGGTAGTAAAGAATATAATTATTACCCAGGTACCAAAATTATATCCCGACGTTACAGCAAACAGTTTCTCAAAATAAATAGCAGGATGGAAAATTCAAAAACATTTGTACGTCTTCCTGTAGTTTTTCATTAGATATGTTGTACATTATCTATCCGTACTATGGCAATATTTGGTTATATATAATCAACCCTCCTCAGGAAATCACACAACCAGTAAATGAAAAATTTCAACAAAATCTGGTTTTGTGATGAGTCCTCGAGAAAATTATATTTTTGGAGCTATCTTTTATTGTTCAGATTCTAAAGATACTAAAGAAACATTATCTTCTTTCAATTCAAATAAATTCAGTGATTTATTTTTAAATGAAATGAAATCGGTTTTTCGCGAGTTCATGGATGTTGAAAAAAATCATTTGGGTATGTAATTACCTTATAATAAGCCCTACACGAGTCGAATTAGGTAGGTTTCATAGGCAACTAGATAGCACGATAAAATTGCATGTACCCAGCTGTAGTTTCCCTATGTAATGACATTTGGCCCCAACGCTTTGCTACTGCAACTGCACTGCAAATGCCTATAAACCTGGATTTTCGCTCTACTGTTTCAACTAACTGCAGGGGACGAGAAGCTATATAGGGTGGAGGATAGAAAAGTGCCAGTGTGCTTGAAATTACATCGAACGAACTGTGTACATAGACAATTCGTGTCTTCTTTTTTGGTTTTTCAATAACAATGCTCATTCATTATACACATATATAAAACAAATTGTCTTCGATAAGTGTTAGCTGGAGCAGAGCACTCAATACAATGTAACAAATTCTTCAATTCAAACTTTCTAACTCATAGTAATCAAATCTCACGAAATGTCTGGATTAGGATTAAACTACATCTGAGCATCAGAGCACCAGGAAAACAACCAGATTATATTGCTATCCCAGCTTACTGAATTTAATTCGCAGATACAGTTAACTTCGTCACTTCGTATGACAATCCATCAAATTAAACACCATTTTATTCCCTGAAATTCACAGGTTGTTTCAGATTCGAATGTAAATACGACACTTTGATGGTTCCAAATCATCCCACATTGATGTGTTATAACTGTAAAGGACATCATCTTGATATTGGTCAAATATTTATCTTGCCATAACTTTCGAACCACCTTGTATATGTGATTTATACTCATCAGGTTTGATTCACTTGAATTACCCCATCAAAATCAAAACCTAAATCAGAATCCAGGTCCGTCTTCTGGAAACACAGACACCTTCTTTTGTTTCAAAAACAACACTCTGTAGAATTCTGATATAGATATATATGTTTTGATATCTGAATAGGGCGGAAAAAGGTGAAAGGAGTGAACCACTTTTCACGAGTACTTTTCACAAGTTTATTATTTTTCCAAATATTCAGTTTGATTTCGAGGGATTTGTATTCAACTCTTTATTGAACTGACCAGCCCACTAAACATATTTCAGTATCAGACACGTCTTTCAGCTATCTGAAACCTTCTCCTAAATGTCCTCAATTTTCTATAGTTTTATCAACTCTTCAAAGAAAGTGGATATGGTTTTGAAAAAAGATACATAGACAGTAGAAACAGACAAACTTATCAGGTACTACTTATTCTTATTTTACAAACAGAAGGCAATTACCCATCACACAGATGTGAGGAATACAAAACGCAAATAGTCTAATCAAGCCCACACTAGCCCAACATAATCGCACACCTAGATCTAAACTGTAGCAACTCAAAAATCTTGATTTTTGAGTTAGTTATTCATTCAGAATCTACATAAGACGTTGCATGTGCCAATAAAACAGATTCATCGATATCTCAAGAAGTCTCCGATAGATGGTGTTTTAGTTAGTTTTTGGTGAATGAATCATGTCAATGACGGCCCCACCAAAACGGTTGCAATCTCAGTTTCTGTCTGGACATCAACAGGAGTGCACTTAGTTTTGTAGTACAAAACTATTTTATTTTGAGTTACAACTGTTTTGGTGAAAAATATCGTGAATTTCTTGTGTATTAATTGAAGTTGCTACAGTATTGGTGACGAATCTCGACCAAATCGACGAAAATCCCATTCTGAATTTCGAGTTGGAACAGTTTCATTTGCTCAGGTAAGTGAAAATTTTATGTTCATCTTGACTTATTTCGGTTTTGATGAAAATCTTTGGATATTTATAGTTACATCAGTTTTGTTGAGTCATTATTTCTTCCCCATTATTTCTAGAAAAACCTCAAGCAACTTCTCTTTTCATAACAGACTATCATACATTTTTAGAGTTGAGTCAGAATTCTTATCACGACTTTTCAAAGATTATTGGTAGTTACTAGAAGTGGTTATTTTCGAGTTGATATACTTCTGATGTTGAATCAGAGTAGGCACACTGAAATATTTTATTGTTACAGAAAAATGAATCGGCGTGGATTATTATTAGTCAATATGGTGAGAAAGATAGATAAAGAAAATGCCAGTCCCAATATACCATCTCAAAACGAGAACTTGCAAGCAGCTATATCAGAGCAGAGAGACTTAACAATTTCGACTGATCAGTCGAATCAACAATCAAGCACAAGCACTTCCAGTGTGGCACAGCTGAAAAACAAACGAACCGATTACTACATTTCACCAATACATAGCGACGAGAGTGATTTTGATGATTCTGATGCGGATCCAAATTTTGTGATTTCTCCTGATGAACCTGGACCATCTAAGGTTATATTTTCTCCTATCTCTCCTTCTTCAGGCAGCAGTAGTTCCAGCAGTTCATCCAACAGTTCATCCAGCGACAGCAGCTGTTCTGATACCGACACTGAAAATAATAATGCAGTCCACCTTGATGATCATCGACTCAACATCGAAGATAATTCTACGATTGTAGAAAATCAAGACCAAAATCCTGTCACAGAAGTTAAGAAAGGGAGGAAGAGAGCGAGAAATCCATCAACGTGGAAAACGAAAGTTGCAAAAACATTGAGAAATTCTGGCAGAGCTTACAATTCTTTGTCTAAATCGAAGAAACATGTGCCAGAAAGAAAACTTCGTCCGCCTTGTGGAGCCAAGTGTCGGCTAAGTTGCAAAAGCAATTTTGATGAACCATCGAGGCAAAAACTTTTCAGTGCCTACTGGGAATTAGCTGATCTTCAGAGACAGAGAGAGTTTATAGTACGTCACTCACAAGAAATCAAACCAAAGTACAGGTACTCTAGCACACAAAATTTTAGAGCTCTAAATACGGCATTTTATTTTGAGAGCGATGGAACAAGAATAAGAGTGTGTAAAGCATTCTTCAAATCCACTCTTGACTTAAATGACAGAGTTATCAAAACCGCACTCTCCAAAAAATCTGAATCAGGTGTGATAGAAGGCGAATTGAGAGGGAAACATGGGAATCAACCAACTATTGATCCACAAGTCAGACGTAGTGTTATAGATTTCATAAATTCTATACCAAGAATTGAATCACACTACCTAAGAGCTCAAACAACAAGAGAGTTCATTTGCAGTGATAAATCTCTTGCTGATTTATACCGGGATTATAAAATACTACGTGAAAACAACGGCTTGCCCTATGCTACAACATCAACATTCAACAGAATATTCAATACTGATTTTAATATTTCTTTCTTTATACCAAAAAAAGACCAGTGCGATCTTTGCGAGAGTTATAAAAATGCAGATGAAACAGGAAAAGAAAAACTATACCAGAACTACGAACAACACCTTAAAGAAAAGACTTTGGCAAGGATAGAGAAAGATAATGACAAGAACAGGACAGATGGTACCATCGTTGCAGTTTACGATTTGCAAGCAGTTATGCAGGTGCCAAAAGGACAAGTTTCGCTTTTTTTCTATAAGTCTAGGATAAACTGCCTGAACTTTACTGTCAGTGATTTGGAAGTGAAGAACGTAGTTTGTTACTTTTGGGATGAGACCGAAGGAGCAAGAGGAGCTGTGGAAATTGGTAGCTGCATACTTGACTACATCAAAGCTCAATCGGAGCGAAATCCCGAAAATGGAATTGAAATAATTTTCTACTCAGATAATTGTTGTGGACAACAGAAAAACAAATACCTGTTATCTGTTTATGCTTACGCTGTTATCAACATGAATGTAAAATCAATTACACATAAGTTCCTGATACGCGGTCACTCTCAAAATGAAGGTGACAATGTACATAGTGTCATTGAGAAACAAATCAAGCGACACTTGAAAGCAGGACCGATCTACTCACCGCAAACTTATTCAACTTTGATTCGAACAGCCAAGAAGACAGGACGTCCCTACAATGTTGTAGAGATGACACACGACAAATTTTACGTCAAAGCATTGCAAGAGTCATGGGGCAATAATTTCAGTATAGATGAAGACAGGAACCAAGTCAAATGGCATGATATCAAAATTCTCAGAGTAGAAAAAGAGCATCCTGGGGAATTTTTCTATAAAACTTCATTCACAGACCAAACATTCAAAAAAACTCATGTACGCAAGAGAAGAGCTGCAAATCAGTCCTTCATTTCCTTCGATTTGACACGAGCATACACAGAAAAAATTGCGTTATCTGATGCCAAGAAAAAGGATATCCAAGAACTGATTGATAAGAATGTTATTCCAAGACAGTACTATGATTCCTATTTTAAAAATGTGTTAGGGCATGACAATACACATCCAATGGTCGACTAACATAATAGGTACTTAACAATGAAAATGATCAATCAGTATTACTTTTTTTGGATGTTCTGACCGTGATTTTTTGATCTCATGAGTGCCATTGAAGATTTATTTTTCACTTTGAGTATTTCCTAGTTATTTTCTGTTAGTTAGGATTTGCTATGTTCTAATTTGAAAAGAGATTGTGAGAATGTGTTTGTTCATTCAATATACGTAGGTACCTTAGACGTATGATTTGAGTTTATAATTATTTGTTTCACTGTTTATTGAGGAATTGGAATTTTTGTTTTGTACCTGATGTCATAGTTAATAAACACTATCATAATGAAACCATCGTTCCATCATTTAACCCAACAAAATTAATTAACAACACTTTTTTTGCATTGGTAGTAATGCATTTTTCCAAGTTGAAAGTGAATCAAGTCAAAATAAATTAACAAAACCGTTTCAAGTCTGAATAATGAAGAAAAATAACTGAAATATGGCAAACAGAACTGTAGTAACTCGAAAATTCCCATTTTTAACTTGTTCAGGCAATTTGTATGAAATGTTTCAATCCAGACTTTCTCCAATAAGCTACACTAATTCATTGAACAAAAAAATAAACTTCTATCACACATTGTAACAAGGTAATAAGTTTTTCGACTTTCCTGAAAAAAGTGTTTTTTTGAGTTTCTACAGTTTTGATCTAAGTGTGCGATATCCTAATGAACACTTTCAACTAAATCTCCAAAACACAATATACTGTCCCCAAAACGGCGAAAGAATATACAGCCAACCAATATAATCCGATTGCCAAAAGAATGGATCCTACCTTTTATGTAAACAGCTTCTCATGATGGTAATCCGTGCTATTCACCAATATCATTCACATTTCCTTCGGATATGGAATCATTCTTGATAAAATACTTTGTGAATCCTGATGACCCTTTTTGGCTCCTCGAAACTAAGCAACAGGATACGATGGATCACAAATTGACCATCAGGTTTGACCACCACTGCCAAACACATACATTCAGAAATCAGAAACAGTGACTAGGTATTTCTTACTCAAAATGTTGAGCTCACGCTCATCTCACGCTGTCTAAGCTATCATTGGCATTTTCTATTGTGATAGGTAGGCAACTCAACAAAAAACGTAAAACTTCAGTAGAAGCAGCATTAGAACATGAATTCTTACATGTGTGCATTTTTCATGAAACGTTTTATTCTGGTTTCGCTCAAACGTTCTTGCAACTGAAAAATATTCGAGAAACCTGGACGAAACGTCTGGGTTACATTTCAAGTAACGTTTTAAACAGTCCACAATAGGGTAGAATTGAATTGAAATGTTTCTGGAAGATTTCATGTTAAGTGGGAGGTGTCGTATGTACATTCAAATCTGAAACACCCTGTATGAATGTATGATAATTTTGAGATTGTTATAAAGTACATTGATACTTCATCATCACACGATTCATTCCTATAGAAATTTGATTAACTGAAGGTTGTTTCATCAGTTTCGGCGGGACACTCTGTACATACACGAGATGGAAGAAATTTCTCGTTAGACATAACTATCGGAATTCGTGCGATTTCTTTGTCTCTTTTCTAAGGATTTTCGATAACTTAATACTGTTAAGGATCTGGTCCTAACCGAACCTAATTTTGTACTTGATAGTTATATTAGCGCGTTTTTCAGTGATTTAGTTTCAAAAACGAAGTTCCAGCACTGGAAATGGAGCCGAGCGGTCTGGAGAGAATGAAATAGAGGATTACACTGACCCCAACTTTTCAATATATATAAGGTTTGCTGGAAACCTTATTATTCCATTCGAGTTAAATTGTAGAGAGCAATCTCCGGAGGTTTGATGGAAATGGGCCATATAGAAAACCAGGAACTGATTGCTCAGCGAATATGTTTTAGTACACGGAAGTGAGTCATGAGATGCATAAGATTTAATTTTGCCTTCAAAATACCACAAGTGATACTATTTTGCTCGAAATATTCGGCGATTGTTAGAACAGCTTGATCTTGATGCCTAATAATTTTGCGAATGACGTTTTTAAAAACTTTCGAGCCATAGGCGGGAAGTTTTGGAACGTCAGACAATAAATAATGAGGCAGAAGTTCTTGCTGTCAAAATTAAATACTAATTATAGCTGACGTTTTGAACGTTTATCAACAGTGAAAACACAGGAGCTCTGTTCATCGGATGAATGAATTTCTCTTCCTAACGAGAGAAAATTGCCAATCAGTTAGTTTACGAGAAAAACTGACATGAAGAAATTTTGCAAGATCGTAGGTCGAGAATTTTTGTCTAATGTAAATTTTTGAGTTAGTAAGGAAATGTCGGCTTCTGTATTGGTGAGCAAGTCTGATAATTTTTGGTAAACAAAAAATATCGCTGTAATACAGGAGAGACAGTGAAAAAATGGTCGATTCTGTTTGGTTTTCGAGAATAAGAGTGGAAGTCACTCAAAAAGCACAACGTAATTGGAGTATATTATGTAGAACGATTTTTCTGCATGGAATAAGTGAAAATCGGGGTATTATTATAAAAACAGTAGATGAAATCCAATTTCAATCTTGACTTTTTCACTAACCAGAATCAATACGCGAACCAATACCGAGAGACACTTGGAGGAACATTATGTTCATTCGTCAAAAGGTAAAGATTGACGAAATTGTTTACGTCTTTCAATCGTTAATGTGCGAATAATCGACAATGACAGATTGACAGAGATCACTGACATTTTTTATTTCATTCGACATTCTACGTTTGTCAGGATGGGTGAAAGATCTTACAGTCACAACTCCATCACATAACACAATTTGATATTAACCAACGGTCATGGAGAAATGGAGATTTTCCGAAGGATTAATCCTCCAGCATCAGCAACATTTAGTTGAAGAAGAAAAGCTGTAAGATGAAAACAATGCTTCTTCGCAATTGCAATTGCATACCTTGTTAGTCCCAGCACTGGGACCAAACACCCCATAAGTCGAAACTTGTGCGGGGTTAGATATACATACAAACACAAACATCCATGGCCTAACTAGGATTCGAACCTAGGTCTCGGTGGGAAATATTTTTGGTGGAATCTTCATAATCCCTCAAATAACTGCATTGATTTCGAAGATGCGATTAAATAGAAAAATATTTCTTGAAAGTTCAAAACAAATTTCGAGGTTGACAGTTCTTGGAAAAAACAACAATCAATGGTAGGAGTTATTGCCGGATGAACCATCCTGTTGAGTTAACAATCCTCGTGTTGTGAGAGCATCCTTTTCTCTGTGATCCATTTGAGGTCAGTTTGTTGTTGATCATTTCAATCTGATATTGTTTTGTCTGTCAATCACCTACATGAATCTCATTAAGTGAATTAATTATTGATATAGATAATCATATTATGTTCATGGTATGTATTTGAATGCTCTTGATTGAACCGTCTACCACAGAAAACGAGAGAAAAAAATCCACTTACTTTTTATTGGCAGATACCAAAATAAATTACTTACATTTGTGGTCTAGGTATATATCGGTAGATACCTCGTGTTCTCATCATGTCATTATGAAATTCGGATGGTACAGACTGCTTCGTATTTCATAACGAATTAAATAAATTAAAATTCCCTGGACGATATGGCGTTCCTCTCTTTTCAGTCTGTCCATTTTTTTGCCAGAATCGAATGGATGTACACAGACTAATTAAATGGTATAAACAGAAAATTTTAACTTATTTCTCATCGAAAAAATTCCGGCAATTCCGATAATGAATCCATTGGTTGAGTCTCTCTGAGACTTCTGAGAGTTTCGAAAAAACGAGAATGCCCGCTATTCAATATTATTTATAATTAGCAGTCCTGCTCTTTGCCTGCCTTCTCGAGCACTTTCATTTGTGAAAGAAAATCAAGTGGAGGCAATATACTTCGTCGTGCATTTCCTTCCATCAACGAGAGTTTTGAATAAAGGATTGAATATATAATTCGATCTGAAATATGGAAATACCAGATATAGGAGGAATTCCCTTATAATTCAGAATTCCTTCTTTGAATTCAGATGATTTTTCGAAATCAGGAAAGTTCTTGAATTCAGATTTTCGACTTCTCCACAATGCTATCAGCTCCATTTTTCTTCTTTCTTTGTTGAACTCGATTATTCAGGAGTCCATATCGATTTTTGCTTTTTTTAATTCGATCCCAAAATATACAGTGTGTGCGATTTCAACTCGTACCTTCTTAATTTTGAATCCGTGGACAAATTTTCAGAAACAAAAATTCAATAATATAGTATTCAATGAGCTTCCTGCGAAAATGTGGACAATTCTGAGATATTTAGATTTTGAAGGCCTACTATTGTTTGTTGAAGGGCTCAAAATTTTAAATACGACTTGTAAATTTTTTTTTCAAAATTTGAATGCAATAACTCATATAGGGTATTAGCTATATTTAATTCAATTCGAAGAGAATTCGCTATGTGGACGGATTCCAAATTTGGAGACGGGTGAAATCGCATACACATATATACAGAGTGTCCCACGACGATTGATTGTTGATTTGTAGGGGTTGTAAATTAAAGCAATTGGTGCAGCTTCTTTAAATACTATGTTGCCTGATGAGTTTTTTGTTCTCGGTCACGTGACATCAGATTCAAAATTATTCAAAATTTTTGATGGGAAAATCTTTATATATTTTGGCTTTCAACAAACTATCACAATTTTTTTGTGATTTCAAAAGATTGATTTGAGAACTACATCAGGTATTCTCCCAAAGTTTTTTAACTACGTGTTTTGATAAAATATGATTGATGATTAATATTATGTCTTATTTTAATCGTCAGAAAAAATATATGACTGCCCAAATATACAAGGTGACCCAAAACTCAAATTATTTGGCAATTGTTCGTATCAGACCTTTGTCGTGATCGTCGTTGAACAAAGGATATTAAGGTACCTGTAGTTCTTGAATTAATCGTTTCAGATGACAAGTGTGATAAATTTTGTTGTAATCATTTTATCGGGAGGAACATAGAATTCCCAAAATATACAGGTTGTCCCATTAATAATTATAAATCTGATGTCGCTTGAACGAATATGGAAAGCTCGCATTTGGTAATATAATATCAAAACAAGCTGTACCAATTGATTTTTTTCATCTCTAGGAGCGCACGAAAGGAAATTCCTATAATATTCGTGAAACATCGCGCGTATACCTAGGAGGAGAGGGAGAGGAGGTAGGTGTTGGCTTTTTTTTCAACTTTTGGAGGTTATAAGTTCTTGGGAATTCTTCCATTGGCAAAGAATGCCATCAAAGCGTCGCCGTTCTATAGACAAACGAGTTACAACCCTGCATTTGGAGCAAAGACATCCTGTATATAATAGGATTTAATGGTTCGAAATTTTGCAACCTTCGTTTCAAAACCATGTAAACATTGGCAGATGAGACAAAAACCAAACCAAATTGAGAAAGTCTTATTTCGAATAAAAAAGGAAGTTTGGTTTCTATTAAAAACAATTTTCAAATCCAGAAAGTCAAGAAAATCAAATCTATCTGAAATCATAGTTGAAAAGGGGACAAGTCATCAAAAACATTCGCCTCGACATTCGCCAAAGAAAAGAGACAAAGAAACTTTCGTCACGAATTCGAGAACTACGCTAAGTGATGTTTGATTCTAGCCCCGTATCAGCCGATAGCCACTCGCCCCCATTCTCGAGCCGACGTTTCGGAACCGAACTGCACCATCACGGTGTACGTTCAAACACGGGAGGATAAGAGAGTGATCGGATTCGTATCCGAATGGATAAATGCTTATACATTTGTCTCACGTAAGTATGTTCTGGCCTTCACAGAATGGGTAAAAAAAATCGAAATCACAGCATAAAATTCAGATCTGGGACGCTACAGTAACAAGCGCAAAGTTCATGTTGTTATGAGTGGCATATTTTTCAGAGGATTAATCCCACAATCATCAGTCAGTAAGTAGGTATCAAACATTCCTATCGCATGAGAAATTATACGCAAGTTCCAAGCACATATTGATACTTCATAATCGATGTATCAGGTACTCATGGAAAATGATTCTCAAGTGGGGTTTATTGATAAGCGATACCTATGAAACTTGCAATATTGTACTTGTTGGTCAATTCGAATTGTTGAGTAGTAGCTATGCATCAGGATTATGGAATTGAATCAGGATGAATTTCTCGCTAACTTTGGCACAAATATACTGGGTGTCCCTCCGGGAACTGCATTGATCAATATATAGAAAACCATACGTGGGCTGAATTTGAAAATTTGGTAGTTCACTATTGTTGATAAGTGCTATCCGGCTAAAATATTTTGAAGATTGTGGCACTTTCGGTTGTACCGGAAGTGGACCCCAACTTCGTTATTTCAAATGAAACACCCTGTATTTTATTGCATTTTTAGATTCTTACTGAAGAGCTGATTTCATCAATGCATCACACTTGGGGTCTATCAGGAATGATTACAGAGATATAGGGTCTTCAAAATCGAGATTTCTCAATTTTAAGATTTTTTTGTGTCAAAACCATTCATTTCATTTTGATTCACTATCTACTGGAATTTGATTGGAAAAAATACAGAGTGCTTCAAGATTCAGAATTCTGATCACCCTGTATCTGTTCCAATTAAATGTCAGTAGATAGTGAATCGAAAGTTAAGATAGGGACATGTAAGCCGTTTTGATCGATAATGAATAGTTTCGACACAAAAAAATCCTAAAATTGAAAAATCTCGATTTTGAACACCCTATATCTCTGTAATCATTCCTGATAGACCCCAAGTGTGATGAAATCAGCTCTTCAGTAAGAATCTATAAATGCAATGAAATACAGGGTGTTCCATTTGAAATAACGAAGTTGGGGTCCACTTCCGGTACAACCGGAAGTGTCACAATCTTCAAAATATTTTAGCCGGATAGCACTTATCAACAATAGTGAACTACCAAATTTTAAAATTCGGCCCACCTATGGTTTTCTATATATTGATCGATGCACTTCGCGGAGGGACACCCTGTATATATATATATTCATAAAGTTGGCATCATAATATATGGGAAAATCTTTTAATGATAATGTATTTCGGAAATCGACTTGGCGTGAGTTTTGCTTTGAGAAAGACGAAAAGTGGCCTACTCGGTCGGGGTCACGTGACGTCGCTACATGTCATAAGTTTGAAACACAGAAATCATATACTCTATGATGTCTGTGGTTTGAAACGAAAAGAAAATATAGGCTTATTCAAAATGTTTCTTTAGTACCTCATCAAGATTGTCATTTTCCTTTTTACTTTTTTTTTCAGTGTTTTCACTTTTCTTTGTAATAGAATAGCCTAATAGGCCTTCTCAAATGAAACAGTTTGTGGGTTTCATTATCAATAAACTTTGAAACTTACATGGGAGCTGGAAGTTGTAAACATTGTCCTTAGAATCCAAGTCATGAACATTCACAGACACATCCTGAAAATAAATCACTATAGTTTTTCTAAGAATCTGAACAATTTTCAACTTACCCATATAGGACAATTTCTGTTTGCCTTGCTTATTTTGCATCCAAATGCAACACAGTATAAATAACCATTGTTTAATTAAACAAGAAACAAAAACACGACAGATTTAGCGATATTTCACATAACAAAAAACAATGAAGTTCTGTCTTCACTTTTTTGCCTATTTAGATGGAAAAAAAGATCTCAAGTACGCCAGTAATTGGATGAACGAAAATTTATAAACCAATCCGCCATTAAACAACACGAGTGTGAAAGAGACAGGTTACCGTAACACAAGCTAACTTTGTTGCAGCTGCCCCTGACACACTTTTTGCTATTCGAGAAACCGGCCGCAAAGTAGTTTGATGATATTTTGCTAGATGACTTTGGCATTATTTTAGCACTGGAAGAATCCATTAGAATAACTGTCGCTCCCGAATCCTAGACGAACTCTGCACCAAACAGAAATTAAATTTGCAGCGAGGATTATAATTTTGTAAGGAAAATCATTTGTTCATTTGTTTGTCGAAAGAAATTACTGCAGGCCTGAAATGGCTGAAATAGTCTTGTCCTTGTCGGTGTTAGACTGCTGACAAGTGACAAGGAAAAGTGTCAAAGTCGTTCTGGTTGTGGCTACTGACACGACGGTCTCTTATATTGTTTCGGAACTAAAAATATGCACAACAGCTTCCACATTCCACGCTTGTTATTCAAATATCTTCGTTTGTTCTTTGACGCAAATATATTTCTATCAATGGTTGTAACTGTATGTGAAACTGTAAGAGGATTTGAGAACTCTATATCAATTGAATGGAAAATAATATGTAAGAGCGTTCTTTCAAAACCAGAGCAAAAACGTTCTCGTTGTTACTGATACGTCATAGGGCACCATCTTTAGACCCACTGCAATTAAGCGATATGCTGCAAGTAAATCAACTATGCAGTGTGCGTATTTAGCGTTGTATTACCCATCAGCTAGTAGGTAGATATATTCAAACAAGCATCCCTTCTGCATGGCATGACCTGAGTTCCCGCTGTATGTTCTAGTCGAGCATGAGTATTTACAGAGGGTTGTTAACAGGGCGGCAAAAGTTGAATTGCATTCAAAAAGTGTAAGAGTCAGTTTGAAAACCTCCACTCTGTTGTTCTATACTAAGTAGGTAAAACAACCTGTTCAGTGATCTTACATATTATATACTCGAATTTCATCTGCATTTCCCGCCATATGACTTTTATTTAATGCATGAAAATTAACAGCAGATTATAAAATATGGTGGGTGTCATATCTCCGCCACCAAATTTTTAAATGGTATTCAACATTATATCATTTATATTATTAAACAAAATTCAACTCTTTGAATTATTCTAAGTATATAGGGTGTTTCCGAAATTGGGGCGATGAATGAAATGATGTGTTGTATGAGACATAAGAACACGATAAATCACAAGAAAAAATTGGTTTGGAAATGTTTCAAAAATGTGCGCTCCCACCATACTACATATTTCAACTATTATTGAACGTCCGGCAACATTGCAAAAGTCATTGATACTTCCGGTGCTTGTGATCTCGCCGAAAGCAAACGCATGGGTTGGGCTATCAAACTCTGATCAAATAATTTACAAATATTTCAGGCAAACTTTGAAGCTCAATATCTTCCAAGATATTTTTTCTCGACAAGAATGTATTGTTTGATTTCGTTTTGTTTTTTCGTCTTCTATCATCCATTTCATTGAACGCCACAATTTCGGAAACACCCAGTACCTATATAAATCAGTCGCATACGAGGTCGCATATGAACGATGGATTTACCTCATTTCAGTGAAATATTCAGGCTCCTACTCAATAAATCAGTAAATCGTACAATAAATTTAACTGCAGTCAGGTACATATGCAGGATTTCTATAAACGATTGTAGTAAAAGTGGCCGTAGATATATTTTTTTCTATTTGCCGACTTCTACTTATTATACATTTCACTAGAGCACTATACTATAGCGACAAATGAAAAAAAATGTATTATGGCATGTTTTATGTGTCAGTGTCATTGATAGAAACTTCTAAAGTGCATTGAGAATAATCGTTTGTTATGTTTCCTATGAAAATCTATACCTAACTGAGAAGCAATTTTGGGTATATATTGATAATAGATATTAAATTCCCATACTTTTCGAGATTATAACTATATAAGTATATGCCCTAGTGACTCAAATATGTGCCTAAGCATTACAAAAAGGCTAATGTGACGTATTTTTTCCAATTGTTTTCTGATTTGTTCCAACTATCTGATCAAAAACTAACAATCAATATCAACACAGCGATGAGTTCAGAAAGAAAATATAATTTCACGGCTGGGTATCCAAGATTCATTCCAACTACAAAAGGAAAGATCCGAAAGATATTTCTTGTGATAAATTGGAGAGCTCCAGTGCAAACCTATCCGTTTCCAGAAACCAGAAAGAAGAAATATTAAACTTCATATAATGGAATTAAAACGTTGGCTGTTTTTATCAAACGTTTCCAATTGTGACCTTCTATTTTATTTCACCCCGAGGCTCCGAAATCCTCTGCGCTTTACACAAAACAGACTTACGGGTCATGTCGTTGTTCTAACGAACTGGAAAATGACTTACACTACCAAATCCAATTAAACATTTCTCTGGTGTCACAAAGCGTTTCAGCCTACGCTATATGGATCGAATTACCGCACTCTTTGCACCTTTTTCACTTGGTCATTTTGATGACCTTCGTGGTGAGATGCCTTTCAACTCATTTCATCCGATGAAGAGATTCATCGATCATCGAGATAAATTTTGAATCCAGTCGCATGTAGCTTCACAAGGCAGGAGCATACACGCAAAAGTAAACAAATCCATTTTAACCACAAAACGAAAATATTGCATCATATTATGTTGAAATCGATTATTTCCATGAAATCCAATGCCCAGTTTTTACCAAAAGTATACAATTCCTTGTATAATAGTGTGGTCAAATCAGGATTTTCAACCAAAGAGTAACAAATCCGTATGTTATTAATGTTCTTCAATTTCAACAGAATTTCTCTCAAAAAGCAACAAATCCTCGAAGAAATTACGAATGCGCTGTTATTACCCATGCAAAAGTGAACAAATCCAGAGGTATTTTAGAACTGCCAAATAAATATTATATCTTTTACATAGTGTACCATCTTGTATTCAACAGTATAAATAATGGTTAACGCAGTTTGATTTATTATTGCTTATTAGGAATATCACCTATACATTATTGAGAATTTATGAATTATCGAATATCTAATGATATTTCTGAAGTTCCCAATCATATTTCAACATATAGCAACTGTGCTATGGTCTGCCTTAACATATGAAATCGTGACGTGTTCGTTTCTATTTGCCGTTTGAAAATTACTGTGGCAACATTGATGAATGTAGCACTTTGAAATTGACCGAAAAAGTATAAAAAGATATGGAATCGATAAAAAAATATATTCCACTCGCTTATACAGCGAAAATATCGTTTCATGCATAATTAGTTCAATGGATTTGTTCATCTATGTTTGCGTGAATGCTTCTCACCTGTTGATGAACACACCGTACGATATGAAGCCCTTCGGTGGTACCGAATGAAAATATGTGTAGGTATCATTTCAATATACCTACGTAAATGATGTGAGGACAAATCAGATTATTTGCCCCAAAAGTCACTCCGTTCAATTTCGCCCTGTATCTCGAAAACGAAGCGAGTTATGACAATTTTGTTTGCAATATCGTCAGTTTCACGAAAATCTCTATCTTTGAAAATGAGTGAAACATCCCGTAAGGACATGAAAAATAGGACAGCCTGTAAAACAAAGGAGATACCTTCCTATTCATAAATGCAAAATCTATGATCATAGATTAAATACCTAAGTAATGATAATGGTTAGGAAAGAATTGATTTTAAATAAGTCTCATTGACTCTTCCAGAAAACCAGGAACGTTTTTTCCTGTACCTTATTGTGAGTGTAGCAGCAAGTTTGCTCCTCTTGCTCAGCTTCCTAGTAGGACGCTTGCTCCTGCAAAGACACCGAGCCAGGAGGGACGCTAAATTCCATGCCACAAATATATCAGATAACAGCCTTCCCAACGGCTTCACAGACGATATCAGCGAAGTCGATGCAGATATAGATCTGACCACTCCGCTACCTTGTCCAGTACCATCAGTTACCATCCATTCCCCACCTATCGGGAGCATAGCTGAGGTTAGTAACAAAGCACCATTGATTTTTACCTTCATATTAGAAAAAACAATATTTTTTCGATATCTTCAATATCATCACTATACTCTCTGTTTGTAGAAATTCAAAGGAGGTAGGTATTAGATTTTTCTAGAATTTTTCGAGTTCTTGGGAACACTTTCATTGGCAAAGTCCAAAGCTTTGCCGTTCTATAGACAATTGAGTTCTGGAGAGGAGTTGTTCGACATATTTCGAGGTTGACGACGAAAGGATATGCTGACTCTGGGCTTGCCGAGTACGTATGAGTGATGGAATGATAAGAGAGATTTATGCTATCGAGTAAAATAGTGAGTAAAATATAAACAATCGCCCTGTACCTATCTATAGAAGTGTGGAAGTTTGAATGAGTGAGTGTGGCATCACCCACCAGGCGAATGGCCCGTTTCCAAATGGAATCTAAGAGCATCAGCTTATTATGGGGTGGTGAACACCATATGTGGAAACGGTATTCTGAAACGGGTCGTATCTGTGCTTTGTAGATCATAAGAAGCTGTTGAGGTGTGAAGTATAGCTTTTAGCACGGAATATAAATCCGAATTTTTGTAAAGCAGCTTTGGCGATTGATCTGACATGGTTTTCCCATGAAAGAGTATTGCTGATGGTAATACCGAGCATAGATATAGTGGTTTTGGTGGAAATGGTGGTACCAGACATTGTTATATCGACATACTGAGTTCCGCCTTTCTAGAGAAAATACAGGCTTGAGTTTTGGTGACGTTGATCTCAACTAGGTTGTCGGAGTTGTTAGGGTTGTTGTGAGTTCTTAGTTTCCTGGGAATCCTAGAAGAGAACGCAGTATGTTGAGTACTATCATCTGCAAAGCTGTCGATAGGGCAAGTTGCTACTCTCAACAGATCATTGATACGAAGTAGGACCGATGTTAGTGCTTCCAAAATTGATCCTTGTGGAACGCCGGAATTAATGGCAATGGTATCAGACGATACTCCGTCCACCACCACGTGAAGCGATCTGCCTGAAAGAAAACTCGAAGAAAAAAGGCATAGCTGAGAAGCTAAGCTGTATGATGTTGTTTGGCAGAAGTCCTGTCGATGCATCTAACACCACAGCTTGTGATTCACCATGACTTTCTAATGAAGCTTGCCATATATGGGTAACGTAGTCGAGTGAATCTCCTGTTGATCTTCAATGGCGAAAGCAATATTATCTATCATTAGAGATTCCTGAGCTTTCCAGATGTGATATGGCTCCAAAGTGATGGAGATAACTGACTTGGGCTGAGAACATGATTCAATATTGTAGAGATGACATTGAACATGCCTTCTCTCCTTCGAATTAACAGTGGCTAGCTGATTTTTTTTCCAGGTGGTCTGGTATGCATATATCATCCATAAGCTCGATGTTGATAGCTTTCTCCATTATACTTTCTTTGGCGGACTAGTGCTGATCATATCATCCACTAGTGTGGAGATGACTTCGAACAGTCGCCGTTCTTTTCTTTAAATTATTAATGGTGACTAGCTGGATTTTATTTTTTCAGGTGGTCTGGTATCATCCACATATATCACCCATAACCTCAATGTTGATGGCTTTCTCTATCACTGACTTAAGTGAGGGTTATTTAGCTGTGTGCACGTGTATATATACCAATGAAGAGAAGAGTTGTATTCCGTGCAAGATAATTTATTCAAATTTATTACTCGTAGCAGAGCGCTTTCGGCTCAGTGCATACTCGTCAGGTTAACAAGGAAATTATCCATAAATATATCTCTGGTTCAGTTTAAAAATATCGATATTATGGTTAAGAACGGTACAAACAGATTCAAATTTGTTTCCCAAAAGGGGGTAAAATACAGGTTACATTTTCTTAAGCAGCCATTGTCGCTGCGATATGTCGTGTTGAAGTGAACTTGATGAGACTTAAGAAGATGTAATCTGTATTTCACCCCCTTTGGTAAACAAATTTTAATCTGTTTGTACCTTAACCATAATGTCGATATTTTTAAACTGGACCAGAGATATTTTTATGGACAAATTTGCTTGTTAACCTGATGAGTATGCACTGATGATGACTCAACAGTCGAAAGCGCTCTGCTACGAGTAATAAATTTGAATAAATTATCTTACACGGAATACAACACTTCTCTTCATTGGTATAACTGACTTAGGCTGATAACATATCATTCAATAGTGTGGAAATGACTTCGAACCTTCCTTCTTTCCTTCGAATTAACAGTGGCTGAATGTTGTTTCTCCAGGTGGTCTGGTATCCACATATCGCACCCATAAGCTCAATGTTGATGGCATTCTCTATCACTTTGGAGATAACTGACTTAGGCTGATAACATCATTCAATAGTGTTGAGATGACTTTGAACCTTGCTTCTTTCCTTCGAATTAACAGTGGCTGAATGTTGTTTTTCCAGGTGGTCCGGTATCCACATATCCATTCACACACCTTACGCAGACCTGTCCACATGGTGGAGGCAGAGCTGCCTCGTGGTCTGAGTACTGTCCCATCCAGCCACTACTACTACGGATGACCAGAATGCCCGGGTCGTGGAAATTCGACTGTTCCCCAGTCGCCTACCACTTCTGCGTGCCCGGGCCAGCGCACCTACTGCTTCTAGTGCTTAGTGCCATGAGTCGGACATTCAGTGAACCAGACCAAAGATGTAATCACCTCAGAAGAGAGGGTGGGTCTAAGGGGCCCTTGTGAGCCGAGTATGCGAGGATTTCGGGCCACCTCAGGGTGACTTCCCAATCAGCCAAAGTACGTCTTAAAGGCGTCTTTAAGACGTACATGTCGGGACATAAGTACGTCTTAAAGACGTACATATTACGCCCAAGAGACGTCTTTGAAACGTACATTTTCCACTAATATGTACGTCTTTAAGACGTCTTTTTTAGGTGTTTTTGGTCCATGACCTCAAATTGATCTTTCAAATTACGGAAAAATCACATAGTTTCAGTTAATTTCCACCTGTGCACTGAAGTTAGCAACAAGTGCAGACAAGCAAAAAAAAAAGGGAAATAAACGACTTCATCAAACGGGTAGACACAAGCGGTCACCCATTCAAGTACTAACCGCGCTCTTTGTTGCTCGACTTCGATGATTATACCATACTCACTTCTTCTGTTACTCTGTTTGTTCTATATATCACATTACAAGCTTTTACTTAATTTAACATGTCCTTGTGTCTGTTTGTAATCAAAAAGTGCAAGTTAAATTTGACTCACTTCAAATCGTCCGATTGATTTGAAATTTGGCAAGTAAATATTATTCCGGTGACAATTCGTTGTGATATTATTATTGAATAGAAAAAACAGAATGGCGGATCCAATATGGCGGACGATTTTCTCATTGATTATGTTCCGATTCGAATCAAAATTCAATATTCAAGATGATGAATCCAATGTGGCATATGGTTTTCTGATTATGGTCTGATCTGAATCAAAATTGGCATATGAAGGATTTCGGGATCAGAGATTATAAATCCTATTGTCGAAAATGAAAAATCCAAGATGTCGGCTTCAAAATGGCGGACGAGTTTTGTGATTATAGTCCGATTTTATTCAAAATTGATTACTATGGGACTTTTGGGGTCGGAGAATATGATTTTTTTGTAAAAATTCTAGAATCTAACACGAAGGCTCCAAAATGTCGGACGAAAAAATTCAAAAACATCACTTTTGTTGAAAATAAGAAAAAACTGAACAATTGAAAATAAAAAACGTGAAGAGATGACATTTTGTTTCTCTTCAGAAAATAACTCACATTATTGTTCTATAAGTCGAATTGACGTACTGGAATATACGTCTTTAAGACGTCTTTTATACGACATGGGAGGAACGACGTGGATACGACCTAAAATGTACGTCTTAAAGACGTAAATTCGTGTACGTCTTTAAGATGTACATGGATTTACATCTTAAAGACGTACTTTATACGTCCCTGGACGTAAAGACGTAAGTAAGTCGTAAAATGTACGTCTTTAAGATGTCTGGTGCTGATTGGGTTGTAGGTCTGTACAAAACACATCCGCCAGGGTTTCCTGAAAGTAAACTGGGATAGTTCGACTGAGCATCTTCCTACTATTGATCGAGCCATGAGAGGAGGGTGAATTCTTCACTTGAATAGTTCATAATCCTTGATTTGTTTCATCCTGAAATTGTTTGATCTATCTATCTAGGGGATCACTGTCAAGACAGTAATAAGGTAGGTGTGTTTCATTCATAGTGATACGCTTGAGGTGTGCTTTATGCATGATTCATATAATAATCTCCTTAAGGTGATGAGCTTCATGCATAATAATCCTCTCAAGATGGGTTTTATTCAAATAATAATCCCCTTAAGATGTGTTTACCGCATATTAATCCTCACAAGGTCATGCCTGCGAAATTTTAGAGTGATACCTATCAAGGATGAGCTATTCAAGAAACTGTTCATAGTGCTAGACCTTCAGTGCCCTATGACGGGGTATTTTCAGATAGTGGTGAAGTTGAATCGTTCTATGTTAATTTCAGGATTTTGCTGTTTTGTACATATGTATTAGAGACATCCTTAATGATTGATTAGTGGCTGAAACTGCCTTGTAGATATAGAAAGTATTTGTCGATCTACAGGTCAGTAATACAAAATGTATCATAATATTGTTATAGACTGTGAGAAATCAAAACTTGCTTCTAATTTATCCTTGAATTTCTTTGCTTCCACAAGAAACTTACAGGTAATGTGAAAAAATATGAAGCATGACGGAATAAGACTTCAATTCCATATTTATGAGAAAAAAAAATCGTTTGTTTGTACTTATTTGTGAAGTAAATTTTAGACTGACTATTGTGCTGACATAAATAAAGTTCAATCCATATATAATTTTTACTGTTTTACGACTTTTTTGGGTGAAATTGAAGCACCACTGCATATTTCCCTTTGATTTCTGTAAATACGTACCTACTGTCCATTGTTGATCGATGTTAGAATTTCACAGAAATATGTGCTAAAACTACTAAAACATCAATAGCTTAGATATCACACTCCAACTTTCTTTGCAGATGTTTTCTTAGCAATATTATAAATTCAATCAAATTTGGGACGCTATTGCACACCATCAATAATATGAAGCAAAAAAATGCAGAAAATCAGGAAAATTATCTCAAGCTCATAAATTATTCTCATTGCCCCATGTGTATATAAATTTCTTTATATTATATACATCATTATACATAAATATAATTTGTTTTTTTTAGTTTTGCAACTCATTCGATTTTATAGTCAGGTGAAAGCATTTGAAAATGTTCATTCCTTATATCAATGGAGGAAGATGTATCATGTTTTGCCCTATACAAAAGTTACAAAACCTAATAACCAAACCTAAGTAATATTTATTGTCCCATTTTGTATATATTTATTATGTGTAGGCTATTTTATTGAAATTATAAAAATGTTAAAAAATCTTATATTTTATCTTTGTTAACAGCATTATAGTCATTGTCTAAACCTAAATCAAATAAATTATTACAAATTATTTAAACACTAAAGAAAGGACACAGTTACAAAGTTTTCTTCCTAATTGCATGTCTTTATTTCAAATGTGATTCCTTGGATTTCTTATTTTTCCGATAAATATGGCTCTCCATATTATTCCATGAGCATAATTATTACTGTTCTGTTTTTGAATTATTTATAACAAGAAAATGCTGAAAAATGAATGATTCAGCCAAGCAATCAACAAATAGAGATCACGTCTTAAAATATCGACATACATTTAAGGAACATATATAGTTATTACATGTAAAACATATTTATGTTATTTATGTAAAAAAAAATATGTGTTTGTATAATAAAAAAAAAATCTAACCAGATCTGACTCATTATTACGAGCTCATTGAATATTCAAAAATAAGTTAATTGCACAGAGTAGAAGCAGTGATACAGCCAGTGAGTATTTTGTGGAACTGGATGTACAGTACCCATCATTTAACTTACTACCCATCGGGCATTGACATTGACTGTTTCTACATTCGAATGAGTGATTCAATACCAATGTACAATCTGTGGTTTTCATACAGGGATCACCATATTCTAGAAAATAAAGAAACTTATTAGTCTGAAATACAAATTTTTTTAAATAACATTAGTTTCTCGTCAAAATAGTAATAATATATACTCGCCTTTTGATTGCAAGCAGTGATTATTTATCTCAGTGTACCCATTTCTACAAATACAAGTTTTATTTTCACCATCTCCTGAGCCACACTGAGAGAATTTAATGTGTTGGCATTGTTCGTTTATTTCACATTCTTCATTCAGATTTTCCACAGCTGGAAAATAACATATTTCAATATACAGTATGTCCCACTTCGAGTGACCCTTTTATTTTGGAATAGAATGAAAGATTCATCTGATGTCAGTACCTAGGAGTAAATGTTTAGGAAAAATTCTATGGTGAAAACCGGCATATCGATATATACCATTTTCTCAAAAAAATATAGTTTCTGTCACTTTTCAAAAATGCACATTTTGAAAAAACACCTTGTTACTCAGAAAGGATGATAAATATCGATATACGATTTTCACCATTGAGTTCGTCGAAAAATTGACCATCAGGCACCGACATCAATTTTCATTTTTCTTGTTTTGAAATCAAAGTTTCCAATTTGGCCCATCCTTTACACGATATTTTGATGAATTCAAGACCATCACAACGCAATCAGATTTGATATAGTTTTCTGATTTTTGTGATATAATCTTGATCACACATTGAATGAATAAAACTTAATTCATAAGACCATTTGATGTCTTTTTTACGAGTACATTTTGAAAAAAAAATTCGAATCGTTCATTCTACTCTCATATAGGATGATGTGATTCTTGTCATACCTTTGAAGCATCCCTTATTCAGACCAATATAGGCTGGAAAACATTGACAGACACCCTGTGAACAGCCGGAATTGGCGATGTGAGAACAAAATTTATTATCACATGATCCACCGATATCTGAAAAAAACCTGTCAGTCTGGGAAGAGTTAATAACATATCATTGTTTTTACCTGGTAGGCACACACTGCCATATCTGGAATAATTTTGAATGCACTGGCACTTCTCATCTATGCATTCTTCATTCAACTTACAATTCGAGTCTCTGAGACAACCACCTAAAAAAAAGTACCATACTGAACATTTTTCTCAAGCAGGTAAGAGAATATACTTTCTTTACAACTATTACAGAAAGAAAACAAACTTGATAATTTTTTTTTGATGTATGATAAATTGATATTCATCATACAGGACGTGGAAAGAAATTGTGAATTGAGGAAACCTAATCACGAATCTGCGATTGAGGTCTATAAAACTAGCAAGTTTCCATCGCTCAAGTTTAAACTATTTGATTGGGTGAAAGTATTGAAAAGGAATATTCTCAGATATAATTATGAACATAATAAAAATGATATATATAAATAAATACATTGAGAATTCGCATTCTCTATGTGATGAAAATATCAATTCTTCCTTGGTTTACTCAACAGAAAACAACTACCTTTCTGGCTATATCATGCCACGACGTACATCGAACTACATCTATTGAACATACACGATAAGAATTGGAAAACAAAATCTTCTGAAGTAGAGAATTTGCATTCTCCTTCATATAAAGATACGCACATAATATTATTCTGAATATTCAACAGAAAACAACTACTTTCCTGACTATTCGCCACGTCGAACATCCAGAAAGAGAGCATTAAAAATGAAAATCCTCTGAAATTGAGAATTGACATCATCCCTCAAATCGGATGAAATAATATGATGTATTATGATATAAAAATATAACTTACCAATATGTTCAGTATTGAAATGAAAATTGAAATGTATATGAGAAGTATACTTATATAAACTCTGATCTTGATGAGCTTGGAACTTCCCAAAAAATCATTTGTATCAGTGATATGGGAATTATATCTCTCACGAACAGGTTATATGACTTCACTGGAATAAATTCATTCATTTTTTCATGTTCATAATTACATCTGAGAATATTCCTTTTCAAAACTTGATAATGTTTTGAATCTTAATGGTTAAATTACCTTTCGCGTCGTCCTTCTTGACGCAATAATAAGAAGACTTATCCAGAGTGGCGAAGCTGCTACACCGGCACTTTTCAGTCTTTGAATCACAATAGGAATATGGTCCCATTGCCTCACACCATTCATTACTAAGGCAACTAGAGACATCTTGAATCATTGCTGCAATATAACACCATGTAACGAAATCGACAAGTTACAATACAATGATACAATCACATACTTTTGATACATTTTCTATTGGTATCATCATTGGACCAGTAGTTTTTGCAAAAACACGCTGAATCCTTTCCTCTTTTGACTAGCTGTCCAGGTTTTACCACACAATCCTTATCACTTTTCAAAGAAGGATCTGGCATACCAAGTTCTGCTATACATTTTCCCTCGTGTAAAAAGAAACCTTGTGAACAAACACAGGTATTCTTGAAACATATACTGTTTTTCCAGGAGCCACAGTCCATGGCTTCTTGACATGAACCAAGACCTGAAAATCATGGCAGTGTGGTTAATACTGCCTACTCACAAGAAGTATTATAAAAATTCATGTGCTTGGTAGTTAGTACCTGGTAAGCAATTTCCTTTATAGATATACTGAGTGTTCTTATCACATGAACATGTACCACTTGCTGGGTCACAGAAAGAATTAGCGATGTCCTGACAGTCATTATCAAATGTACAAGTGATATTCGCTAAAAATCACCTAAGAAATTTAATGAAACCATCAAATTTTATAACATATTGACATACCAAGTCCATTCGTAATTTTTATTGGCTTCGTCAAACCACTGGGTGAATATTCAAAATTGTAACTTGACTGTTCGACAGTTTGTTTAATTACTGAGCAAATTCCTAGAGTACAAGTCAATGTTGGAGACTGGCAATCGATATCTAAGGCACATGCTGAAACAAAAAATATGTACGGAATATTCTCCATAGTCGATTCAGCATCAGTTACCATTTCCTTCACTTGATTTCTTCCTGCAATCATATTTCCTGTCATAATAGTCATCAGCACATACACAGCTACTTTTGTCAGAGTCACATTGCAACGAAAGAATATCATGAGGACTATTACAATCAGTATTAGATTTGCAGGAAGTTCCTTTTTCAGCTGAGGGCTGACAACTTCCTTGGTACCATAAATAATTTTCGCGGCAGATACAGTGATTTTCGATACAATCTGAGTTGTGTCCCAACCATTCGCACTGTTTTTGTTCTTCACAATATTCTTTATACATTGTCACATCTGCAACAAGAGAAATCAGGAAAAGGTCTTAGAGATTGCACTTTCCTGATGCTTACATGGTAAACAACCAGTTCCATTGTATGATATATTGTCGCAAGTACATTGACCATCGATGCATATTGCGTTTTTTGTAGCACAATCACTGTTCTTGTTACAAGAACCTGAAATTTCCTGAAATTCGCCAAGCCCTAGAAAAATAAAATAAGAATATGAACATGTGGAAATATTTTCCTTTTTGCTTCCTGTTATTTATTGCTCCATTCTTGCTGAAGCAGCGGTTTTTTGGAATCTTTAACAAATATAATTAAACGTTATTTTATACTGAAAACATGATGGTTTCGATGTCGTCTCTTCTTTCGTAAGGGCTTCTTAAAATTTTGATCAGTAAATATTTATTACAAATAAAATAAAAATTTATAAATATATACCTATTATTTGCTTTATCATTTACTCACCGGTAACAGCTAAAAGTAAGAACAGGGAAGAAAACTTGAAAATCTTCATTTTCATATCAGCACTTTTATTGAACGACAATGATCTCGATTATCGTGAAACAATTTATATATCACAAATATTATACATAGTAATCAATGGGACTGATAATACAAACAGATGTTATATTTGAAGCAGCACACCTGCACTAAATAATCGAATCAGATTGACTTGATATCATTATCCGAGATTATTCAATTCGGTCAATAATGATTCACATGTTAACACAAATATCTAGATGCCATCAGAATCGGAACGAGCGCAAACAACCAAGGGGCTCAAAATGTGGAATTCTCCATTTTGGAATTGGAGACTTTCTTGCCTACAAGCTCTATATCTATTTCAGAGTGGCATAAAATATGGCATATGTACCAGGGGCGATAAGTATAGTTATATAAGAGAGATCCATTTTTCACTTTTCAAGCGATTTCAAACAATTCGCTTCAATGAAATATTCTCCGTCAGCAAAAAAAGTATTTATTCCACGAATATTCTACAGAAAAAACATTTCTATCCTAAATTGCTTCGAAATCGTGGAAAGTCGAGGTTTCCTTAGTGGCTATATGGCCCATCACACCTGTTCTATTTTTGAATACGCTGGAGTTATAAAATAATAGATCCACGAAAACGCTATAGAGTAATCATTTTGCCACTCTCTGGTCCTATAATAATTTCTCTTCGGACCATTTTCAAGAAACATATCGTTCTCCATTCATTTTCTTGATATGATAATTAAATGTCAATTATGTGGAAACGTGTGTATACTTACTTATATCTTGAAAAATGTATTTCCTCAAGGTCGCATTTTGAAAATTCGCCACAAGCGTTGGAATCCTAGTTCCGGCACTGTTTGGTACAATATATGATTTTTTTCTGAGAATTATGGAACTGGTTTTTCGTTGTATTCGAAATAAATACTAGATTGGAATTTTTATCATATTTTTCAAATGAAGACAATATCGGTAGAAATATTTATTAGATTGAAAATATTGAATTAACATTGTTCAAATTGAGTATAGAACAGGTCTGTTATGGTGAAATATTTAGGAGATTCATTCAAACTAACCTCAGCCCAAGAGTTGATAATGACAAAGATACAGGATGTCCAAGTTTCAATTTGCATTTCGTACGTATTTGAATTTCTTGCCTCGAAAAATCCTCTGGTTTCAAATTTTGTGCCGTTTCATCACCTTGTTGTTGAAATATTGAGAAAAAACGAAATGAAAATTGAAATTTTCACACCCTATATCTTTGTTATTATCAACTTTTGAACTGAGGTCAGTTTGGCTAAATCTCATTATTTTTATTCAAGGAATCTGCAGTTCTGCTGTGTACCATTAATTAGCAGACACCCTATATATATGATACGACTTAGGTTTTGTGTATATATTGTGGAAGTAAATTCTCATTTCTATATGTAGAATATGGAAATATTTTCATTGGTTTTTGAGCAATAAAACAGTAATAGTGCTCATCGGTCTGTCAGGTCATCGAGAGCTAGAGTTTTGGAGAGGTGATTTTTTTGATTACCGAAAAAAAATATAAGTGATGATTTTAAATAAATGATGACTGTGCCAAATACTGTTAATACATTGGATGATCAAAATAAAATATATATATGGTATAAATTCGACCCATTGTTGTTATCATTACAATGAGTATACATCATATTATACTATCTAGATGAATATCCCCACCATTTATTTGTCTAGCCCAACTGATTTATACTCATGATTACCTATACAGGGTGTCCCGAAATAAGCCTGCCAAACTTCACCAGCGGCTTCTACGACCATGTTTATTGAAACTCTTCTTCCTATTTTTGATCGTAGAAGCCTTTGGTGAAGTTTGGCAGGCTAATTTCGAGACACCATGTTTATGAATGGTAACTTTAGTACCTATAAATTGGAATATGGCTGATTTATTTTATGAAAAACCAGTACAAAATTACACTGGAGTTCAGGAAATAATTATGGTAATTATGTTCAAGTGGAAATGGGAAGAAGAAAAGATATCACAAATCAATTTTATAATCGCAAGCCTTATTTCCTGAATGAATCATACAAATTCGAATTCTCTGTTGTACTTTGATAATTTCAGGATGAGGCGGTTTGGTGTACTTGAATAAAATGTCTAGACCCTTGATAAATTTCTTCATTGCATTATCAAACTGTCCATCGCTGAATAAGTTTTCTGCCTCTGGAAGTATCTCATCCAGAACCTGAATTAAATAAACGCATATGAAGTACCAACATCACATGAAGAGCAATAAGCAAGGGATTATTATTACCATGAGACCTTTCAGATGAGGGAAAATCGTAGTAACAGAATGACAGTATTCGCAAGTCAGGAAAGGGTCATCATCTTGTCGTACAACAAAAACATATGGGCATCTTTCATTTCTGCAAGCAATCCTCAACTCATTGTCTCTCATTTCATCGAACATAGGCCATATCTCTGTACAGGGTGTACACAAACATTCGAACCAATAGTTGCTTTTCAAGATCTCTTGTCGCTTCTCTTTTGGCATCGACATGTAAAGTGGGCCATAGTTTTCGTAGATTATGTCACCAGCTTTTATCGGTTTTATTGAGCGAACAATCATTTTATTCTTCATATTGTACCTATAGAATGCAAATTTGATCATTTTATGATTATGAAGACTGACACAGAGCAAAACATTACCTGACTATACTGGGATCACAAGAATGATTAAACAGGGCTAATGTGGGATATAACCCTGCTCCAATAGTAGCATTTTCATATTTAGTCATGAGCCCTTTAACGTTTATTGCTTCATCTAAATTCTTCAGTTCCGACACTTCGTGTGCATTGAATTGAAGAAACTGCAGATGCCTCAGGATAAGACTTCCAATGTAAATCTCCTCTTTCCTCAGGGTTCCATCTTCAGTTTCGAAAGGAAAGTAATTTCCAAATTTCAATAAGCGAAGTAAAAATATAGCCATGCAAGTATAATGCAGCAATTCTTCTTTCTTTCTTGAACATTCATTGCGACACAGAAAAAAAACATTATCGTAGTCATCAAAACGATAAGTTTTCTTCTTTATAACACTTTTCTCACATTTATCATCCAAGTAATCCTCGAGCTTGTGTTTCTTATCGCCGAAATAGGAATAGTTCCTTTGGCTGATGATCCTGATTGCCAAGCAACAATTCACAGAAGCTCCTGAAAGTAGAAGGCATTCTAGAATGGGACACTCTACTCTGTGGAAATTCTTTTTCGCCAATCTTTCGCAAATTGTGCTGCAAAACACTACATTAGCGCACGTTGAACAAGCGATTGGTTGATCAACAGCTACAAAACACTGATGACAGTTTGTTAATGAGTGATTAAAATCGAGGACCGAAGAATGGGGATTTTCTTCAACAATAATGGTTCCTGTATCAATGTCTTCGATAGCTATGGCGTATCTTCCTTGGTAGCTGTCTTGTTCGAAAGTTATTTTTGGGCTAGCTGCCATATACTCTTTGCCTCCAACAAAGTTATCCACAATGAATGCTGGCACTAGATCATTTCTAGTTACTACTGCCTGATTCTCCGAATTTTTTGCTTTCTCAATTTCTTTCAATTTGCTCTCTATCGTTGCTTCATCGAGTTTGCTATTCTTCAGACTTTTCACTGCTTCATTATAAAATTCAGAGGCAAGTCTTTCGTTCTGCAATGCGTCATAACATTTGGCTTTTCTGAGCCATATTTTGTACTTCAAATGTGTGGGATAACTGCCTACTTCCAAGAGGTAATCGATATCGTTGAAAACTTTCTTATACTCCTTCTGTTCAAAATAAGTCGCACTGCGATTCGATACCAGTATCGCTAATAACTCTCGAGATTCGCCTACGAAACAAAGGGATATTATTTCCGAAATGAATCATTCATACTTTCCAATAAATAATGTGAGGATATTATAAAACCCAAACACTGATTAAGTATGATAATATTTTTAAGTCGTTTCTGGAAAATTTTATCTTAGCCCAACTAAAATATTTCCACTGATATTAGTCAGCAGTGTGTCAAAGTAAATATAAACTGACCTGAATCTTGGGGGCACTTCACTATACCAGTGTTATAGGCTTTCAGAGCATTTGAATAATCTTTCCTAGCAAAATAAGCATTTCCTTTTGTTTTCTGTTCCTGAGCCTCATTAAGATCTTTACCATTTTTTTGCTTCAATATTACGGGAAGTTTCAGTGTGGATGAGTACAAGAGTTGGATTCTGGATTGCTCATCGTTAGCTGCTTCAAATTGTCCAACAAGTTCGGCTGTCAAATCACCGATTGCTTCTTCACAATACTTTTGAAATAGCATGCAATCATTGTTGCTGTTTAGAAGAACGCTCATCTTGAAATGTTCTATTTATATAAAATTGTATGTATTTTCTCTTTGAATCTCGACCTAATGAGATATTTATAGAACTATTCGAAAAGTTATTTCGGGTATACAAACTGTAGACTCCCAATATTTCACTGGTGCATTCTTAATCCCTTCAATACCTATCCCAACATCAGAAACTAGTACAAAAAATTCGAATGCCAAATATTTATTTAAGTGAAAGGACTGATAAGCTTATAGTGACATAGAAACATAGATTAATTAATCTTTTGTATCCATTAAAATGATGTAGTTATTAGTGTTGGGCTGTTTGTCTATCGAAAATGAACCGCTTCAATATAATTTTGGGGTCAATTTTCTCAAAAATGCGTAAGTTTCATTTTTAAATTATCATTGAAAAATGCGCGTTTCGTATATCGTGCGGAGTTATGCAGATTGCAGACTAGTCACCATACAACATTGTATCATGTGTTGCCTAACGCCTAACGCTTGTTTGAGAATCACACCAGAGAATCCATTTCCCGGTAGGTGTTGCCAAAAGTATAATTTTTTCGTCAAATTCAGGATATAATTTTTTCTTTGATGACCGTAATGTTCTTCACAGAGAAGTTCAATGCAGATAGTTGAATCAATCTGGATGTGACATAGGTATGCAAATAACCGACTACTGATCAAGATCTTTTTTCAAATTGAAGTAACGATTACAGGGTGTTTGGTCCACCGACGTATATTCGAGAGGGGTGATAGGTAAAAACATTTCGAACATGTTTGACCATACAACTATATACAGAGTGTTACGAATTTCGAGATATCATCGTTTTGCCACATTCGATCTGATTGATTTTTTTTTCAAAACGCGTTGAATTCGTATCCGTAATTGTTCAAAATCATATTTTCTACCTTGTCCTTCAAATGTTGGTGAACCAAACACCCAGTATATTCTGTTAACTAGCAAAAAGTATTAATTATATCAAATCAAAAATACAAATTTGGACAGCAACCTAGATCCTTCAAGTTTTTATTCAAACAATAATTGAATTCCAAAAATCTCAAAATCTTATCCTTATGTATTTTCATCCCCAAAGGCCAAAGGGGGATGCAGGTGCAAGTGGACACCCTTGCACCCTACTGCCGGCGCCCATAGGGATATTTCATTCACATTCCCCGTTAAACCCTGTTAGAGTATTTCTTTATCTGTATTCTATATCCACTCCGTTCATTTTCAATTCGAATGTACTCATTATATCCTCCATTTTTCACAATCATCATTTTTAAACAAAGGGAAGTGTACCCAAACGGAAATGACGTCACGGTTAAACACAGTGAAATAAATGGGAATAATGGGATTATCAGTTTTAACCCAGGCACGTTATGAATGTGAATAAAATATCCCTCAATAACGATATTTCATTCACCTTCATTCATCTGAGGTAAATTCCTGTTGATAATAGAATTGAAGATATGACAACATAGCAGCATGTGGCCGATGCCTATTGCCTGTTGACAATTTGACAATTATTTTGAAAAAGTTAGGATTTATCAATCATTTATCTTAATTATTTTGTAATTCATGAAAAAATGTGTACGTGTACAAACAAAATTTATTGAACGAACATTTTGTACGAAACATGTTACTTAACAAATCGATACATGATAAATGTACTTATATATTTCGTTGTCGTTTTTATTAATTATGTTCATTTCACATAGAAATAGCAATGGAGAATCAAAAATTTAACCAAAATTTGAAACACAGGAAAATCCATTCCGACTTGAAGAGAATGAGAGAAGGAGAACAAGAATTCGTAAGTAATATAATAATGCTTCCCGAATCCCAACAATAATTTGAGGTTATCTTTTTCCAGGAAGATGAATCTAATGACTTATCATCAGACACCTGTGTTTTACTCAACCAAGGGCAATATTCCCTCAAGACTGATATAATTGAACAACGGGAACCGGTATGGGCGACTGCCATACAGTTATTCATCCCATTCCTGTTGGCAGGCTTTGGAATGGTGGCTGCAAGTCTTTTGCTGGACAAGGTCCAGCATTGGCCAGTATACCAAAATGTCTCAGAAGTTTACATACTTGTTCCTGCACTCCTAGGTTTGAAGGGAAACTTGGAGATGACTTTAGCTTCCAGACTATCCACACATGCTAATTTGGGGAATTTGGACAGCCCCCAACAGAAACTCAGTCTCATTACTGGAAATCTTGCCTTAATCTTGTGCCAAGCCATTGTAGTTGGTTTTTTAGCCTCTCTAGCAGCTGTGATTTTTGGCTGGGTACCCACAGGGGTAATTAATATCCAGCATGCCCTGTTATTGTGTGCAAGCAGTATAGTTACAGCCTTTGGGGCTAGTTTTATTCTTGGATTAGTCATGGTAGGAGTAATAATGTTTTCCAGATACCTCCATATCAACCCAGATAATGTTGCTACTCCAATAGCAGCTAGCTTAGGTGATCTCACTACTCTGGCTTGCTTATCATGGCTGGCTTCTGTTTTCTATAATACAATGGAGAGTCACCAGTACTTAACATGCAGCTTGATAGTGTTTGGATTGCTGTTGGTGCCTGTGTGGGCTTGGATAGCTAGTCAGAATGAGTATACACATGAGGTACTTTTCAGTGGCTGGACCCCTGTCATCACTGCTATGATAATCAGTAGCATAGGAGGGCTGGTCTTGGATTTCACTGTTTCTCAGTTCAAGGGGGTAGCAGTATTTCAACTAGTCATCAATGGAGTTGGGGGAAACCTTGTAGCAGTACAAGCTAGTCGTATTTCAACAGAACTTCATACTTTTGGCCAGCCTGGCCGATTGCCTCCTCACATGCAGGTATGCATGAGTCCCTGTTCAGCTTTTTGTGATAAAAAAGAAACCAGTCATGCAGGGACTGCCCAGATGCTGATGCTTATGGTTATCCCTGGTCATCTCATCTTCTCTTACACTATAAGTTATCTGCAAGCTGGTCACACATCATTCACTTTCATTTTTATGATAATTTATTTGTGTGCTGCACTTTTGCAAGTATTTTTGCTACTTTATATTGCACAAATTATGACTTTGAGTATGTGGAAGAGGGAAATAGATCCTGATAACTCAGCTATCCCATATTTGACAGCTCTAGGAGACTTGCTTGGAACTTTGCTTCTGGGAATTGCTTTTCAGATACTTTTTGTTATTGGAGATAGAGATAGTGATGTTGGGGACTAGCATTATATTTTATTATATTTGAGGCTGCCCTACTGTTTGCCATACTGGGGCCATGATATACTTATTGAATATTATTGTGATCTGTGTACTTCTAAATTGTACAAAAGTGTTACTGAATACAAAGAATATATTTTAGAATATGAGCTACTGTAAATAACCATTATTGAAAATAATAATGTTTCATTAAGATCAGAATTGCTTTATTTATGAAGCAAAAGAGCACTCCTATAACTTCTAAAGAAAAATGCAACCTCAAAATTTTTTCACATAAATTTAGTTAGCATTTTCAAAGAAACACTTCCAGAAAAATTTAGATATTTGGCAATTAAGAAACCTATTATATTTTTTGTTTTTCAAAAAAGACAATGTTGGGCCATAAAAAGGGGAGGAACTTTTCAAGAGGATATAGATGAAGAACCCTCAATAGATTTTTTCATCTGCTAATGGACAACCAATGGAAAAAACATTGTATGAAACTGTATCTACAGAGTATATGTTATAAACATGAACATGTTATAAATGAATTTACCCCCCTTTTCTCCTTTGTTTTTCCAGCAATATTTCTGAAATTCGGAACATCGAATATGCTCACTAGAGGGCACTCTCTCACATTTCAGGAAATGTTTTACATCTTCCGGTTTTCCTGGAAATGACATCAACTTTCGATTTCCATATATGGAACATCCCATATTTTATTCCATAAATATTTACGTTTGAAGTTTTCATTAGCTCAATGAGTGTGACGGCGCAATATTGACACTTTTTTCTTTGTCACACTCATTGAGCATATGGAAATTTTGAACGCGAATCGTTTGAAATAATCCAATCAAGCGCGGTATCGGTGAATTCCTTATTTCTTACCGATTATAGAACAAAAATACAGGATGTGTGTTTTTTTTTTTTTTCAGGAAAATCGGAAGATGAAAAAATCCTGAAATGTGAGAAAGTGCCCTTTAGTGAGCGCATATGCGATGTTCCAAATTTCAGAAAAATTTATAAAAAAAGAAAGGAGAAAAGGAGGGTATACCATGAGGCTGTGCCACCCGGTATAGTCTTCAAAAAAATTCGAAAGATATCATTTTCGTCAGTGGCCTATATCATAGATAATTAAGGTTCTCATCATAAACGGCCTATTTACCTAGTTTTATTGCGGTAAATGTGTTTTGTTGAATTTCCTGTGAAATTATTCAAAAATTTGCCCTACGACGATTATATCATCATCAAGTGGCGGAACTAACCTTTTTGTATATGTTTCCAAACGAGATGAAAATTTAGATAATGAATTCGTAATTAAGAAATCGCTTTAGAAGGAAAATGCGGTAACACAACTGAATGAAACCATCACAGAAAAATAAACAGGATTGGAATCAGCCTTTTTCACCCAACCTGATCGAAAAGGAAATCCTGCAGTTTTCCTGGCACAAGATCTTGAAATAAAATGTTTTTTTTTCCAAAAGGTATTTTCAAATTAAAATTTTGATCCATTTCATTAGGAAAAAAATCGCAGAATTGTTATGAATTTATGAAAGGTGGGTGTGAAAAATTTATTTTATTCACAGACATCTCTAGCTGGTACACATATTGAGTGATAATTCGAAATGAATTTAATTCATGAGGGGGTATGCAATCTATGATGATGAGCATTTCGATTTTTGTTTTGTTTCACCTTCAGGGGTTTCAGGGAAGGGTTATATTTCTCGCTATATAGGTACGCCCCTATACGATATCCTTGATTATATACACTAGTGTGAATATACTCAATGACGATAATGAGTTGAAGGTCCATAATCACAATATTATTTCAATCATGATTTGTTTCTGTTATTATGAGAAATTGAGGTATATGATTAACTGAGGTGTTCGTTTTTATTTTAATTCAAAGAAGAGAGAATTATTTGATGACCACAGGGGGCCCTGTAGAGGGCACTGGATAAAGGAGGCTGGGGGTGCTGGGTGACATTCATATATATACACTGTGGTCAGAAATAAGCACTCATGAAATTTTAACCAGATATTGGTGGGTAATCCCGATGAAAACCTTTGAAAAGTCTCTCTTACACACAAGATTTTGTGGGAATCTTATCGTTTGTGGAGTTTTTTACATTTACTATGGATTTCCATAAAGTATAACCATCGAACATCAACTTTCAGACATATATAACGCAAAGAACTCAGTGGTAAACGGCCGAGTCAATTTAAAATCGTACGTAATGGGCGTGTACACCTTAGTAGAACTTTTTAACTCAAACCATGTTTATAATGATCCTTTCCATACATAAATAATGATTGACGACATAATTCGATCGAAAAATTAACTGGAATGTTTTATTTTTGACATAAATAATAGTACCTTCTGAAAACGGACCCTCTTATGACGTAGAAACCTCATCTCGCCATAGTTAAAAGAAAATACCAAACGCCCGATGGAGACTGAGGCAACTGATATATTAATTCTTTCAACTGTGATCTCGCGCTAATTCACTCTATCAGAAATCATGTATCATTCATCTCTGTCTGGAATAGTCTTTTGTTTCAGTATTAGGGTTTTTACGTCACATCATCGCCTCGTTTTCAGAGGTCCGAAAAATCGGGGATTTCAATAATTTTTTTTAAAACGTAGGGAGCTCAGCAAGAAACGGTTTGCGGTGGTGAGCTAGTTTGGGTGCGAGTTCTATCGAATTATGAAATAATTTTTTTTTGTGTATAAGCCCATATTGTTGAGTTAGGATTCTGTAACTTGTAGAGGAGCAGGAGATATACCAATAATACAATCCCTGACCAATAAGTGGGGCCATCTTCAGTGATATACACTGCTCGCTAACAGCCATGGAACCACCCACATTTCCGGAAACTGTTATCAGGAGGCAAGATATGTTGAATATCACCTCGGATTCGGAATCTTGACGTCCAATTTACCAACTATTCATATTTTCACTAGAAAATTTTCACGGAAGCACCCTCGTGATTTTCAACCCATCTTATTATTGCCTTTTAATATAATTTTCCGGAAATGTATGTGGTTCCATGGCTGTTGGCGAGCAGTGTATATCACTGAAGATGGCCCACTTTCGTAATAGTGTGTATTTTTGGTATGTCCCGCTCCTGCAAATTTCAGAATCCTATAACTCAACAATTACGTAAGATACAGCGAGGGGTGCTTCTAGGGGAGACACACCGTATAGACCCCATGTAAGTAAATAGTAGTATTATCATGTGCTAGTTCGTTATGTTATTATGTACGTTATTTTTTGAAAGATCATCAAAATCATGTGCTAGTTCGTTATGTTAGTATGCACGTTATTTTTTGAAAAATAATATTGTTTTTTTGTGTCTTAGTTGAAAAACGCCATACTTCCTTAAAACACTCGTATCTTCTCTTAAAAATAAGATATTGACGTGAATCAAAAACTTTTGTGTTAAGAAGGGATCACACTCCAATCCGAAGCATGATGAAGCCATGTTTAATCACGCAATTTTGCCACACTACGTTGAGAAGTACCTATAGGGTGAAAGAGTAACTTTGGTTTTTCCCTGTATAATGATCAAGTCATCAGCTTTTCAGGAAAACTAATATTCAGGCAAACATTCCGGAACACGAATCTACGACTTGATCGAAATTTCACAAAAATCGGACAAAGAATAAAAAACTTGTGACTTGTTAAATATTTTGTTGTACGAAACAAGTATATCTAAATGTACTTATCGTATTATACTGAACTTCATTATTATTATTATTATTATAATAGATGCTCAACATGTAATGGGTAGATGGGCAACAGTCACATTCATCTGTGAATACGTCTCTGAGCCATTTGGAGCCAAGGCTTTTGCTGATAGCAAATTCACGGGCCATTTTTACGTATTTAAACGGTACCGAGGGCGTATAATAGTATAATGACTATAATAGCATGCGGCTATTGCCGAACAATTGCGCATAAGACAGTTTCAAATAAGGCATATCGTTGAAAAGGTGTTGTATTTTCGTCATTGAGATTTTTTGCTGCCTCAGTTTTTGATCCGCCAATCCCTAATTTCGATTTTTTTTTTCAAATTTTTTTGCTAATCGAAGTGCGTGTCAGTTTTAAATGTATAGACACAGGAGTGATGTTTGAAAATGATTTTGTATTCAGTAGTATTGCGACCTGGAACCAAAAAATCTGCAGATGACCACAGGGTAAGTAGTATCCGAGATCCACGTCAAAGCTAGGGAGAATGTAGATCCCACCTGATGCTATGACAAAATTCCCATTATAAAAGTTGAATATTTAAAAAAAAATCGGTGTTATTTAGATACACCCTGTATATCAAGTGATGATTCCTTGTTTTTATGAAAATTTGCCGATTCAAGAACTTAGGTATTTGAAAACTTCCTGCCCTTGACTGTCTAGACATACAAAACCGGAAAGGGTACACCCAACTCCCGAAGTACAGAACAACCCCTCAAAAATTCTATTTTCACCCCATCACAAAAGTGTTTTCAGCGCAGTCGTGGGATAGACTATATATGGAGGGAGAGAGGTCTAGGTTCACGGAAAAGCAGACGTGATCAATATGATCAGTCTCACACAGAATGTAGTCAATTCAGCATCTGCAAGGCTCTATGGCCTCAGAAGATCGAAATTAACCCATCTTTTAATCGGTTACGCAAACATCACGATTTTATTGAAAGTGAGTACAAATATTGGTAGCTTATTGTCATTTCGTCAACCAAAATTTCTTGCGCGCCAAAATTGTATACCTTCCATTAGTATCAGAGCTGATTATAGATATCTTATTGAATGCTGTTATCATAGTTGAATTCTTTGAAGAAAAAATCATATCGTATATAACGATGAGCCATAGAATTAAAAAATCTCTCCTGAATTATTGTTTCTTGTACGCAGAATATAGAAAAACTGTTGCATATACCTATATTTGAATTTCTGATAGTTTTTTTCCCGAATAATTATTCATATATATTTTCTCACCTCAGACTCTATGTAACATAGACAACGGACGTATCACCCAAGTTTTCTCTGTTGTGTTTCAATGAATGAAAACAACTGCTCGTACAGGTCGATTTCCGTTTGGCGGTGGACACATTTGCAGAATTGTATCGGTTCTGATTGAGAGAAACATTTTTCCATTCGCCAGCGGTTTTTGTAAATGTCAATTGTTTGAGATAATCCACCATTTTGTTCTTTTCTTCAATTATGAAATTTTCAAATGTACAACTTTTCATCCTTGGAATGGCTTTGAGAAATCCGAAATCGATTGAAATTTGATAAAGTCAGAAGGAAAATAATATTGATACTCGTTATTTCGAGATTAGCACATTCACTTCATAACAAACTGCGAGAAAGTGAGTATATCTCCTGGACTATTTTTTCGATTTCGATGTTCGAGTACTCATTCTCTTCAGAAATTGATGTTCTAAAATAACATCGGAACAGGTTGGGAAAATTCTGATTTTCTTATTTGCCAGCGGTTCTTCTAAATCACAAATGTCTGAGATGCTCCACAATTTTGTTTTTTTTTAATCATGGAATTTTCAAATATTGCACTGTATACTATATTCCTCTAGCTACAAAATGACGTCAAAACATTCAAATTCGGTTGAAAAATGATGAAACCACGAGAAAAATAAAAACTTCCGGTTTTTTGTGACCACACGATATAATTATCTGTAATTATTTCCGCTAGTGTGATACGTTGATTAAATAAGCTCTTCAGGGAGAATCTTCAAATGCAATGAAATACAGGGTGTTCCATTTGAAAATCGAAAGTTAATGCCCGATACGCTCCAAGGTTTCAATTTTGGAATATGATAATTGCATAAAAATGTGTTCCCTACCAAATTGAAATCGACCTGTCTGAGCAATTTTTCATGAATTGCAACACAACAGAGAAAACTTGGGTGTCTCTTCTTCGATGAGCCACCCGATATATTCTATTATTGTCCTATCCCATATGTCTTCATGAAATCATTTTAATTTAAATAGGTAATAAGGCAACGACAAAATTGGCCATTCTTCACAATGGATAGTAATAGTTGGCTAAAAATAAAATATCAGATCACCTAGAAACTCTTGAAGATGATATTATAGTTTATAGTGTAACCCACTTGAAAGCGGAACTCCTCAATAAAATTTCTATTTTTCACCGATTTCGACGAACTCCTTCTTGAATTGTTGAGCTTGAAAAACTGTACTAGAGGACAAGACATATTTTTTTCTCTACAAAAACGAAGGCCTACTACGTATATTTTTAAAGGTTAGAATTCTATAACTCATATTAGGGATTTTTTACGATAAATCAGAGAAATCACCGTTGTATTCATCAGCACTCCATCGAATGGTTCTATACCAAGTTTCATCAAAAAATATTCGATAATGATAATTACGCTGATGCAAAGTTATTTTACTGCGTTCTGGACTTTGCTGCTTTTTCCTTCACAATACCCCAAAGAAAAAATCCAGTGGTGTCAGATCCGGGGATCTTGGCGGCCATTGAATGAGAAGCCTATCCCGACCAATCCACCGATTTCTATAATTATCATTCTACTATTCTCTTACCACAATGTGAATTTTCATTTGGCTACAAAAATATTAATATCGAATATACCGGGTGACTCAGTTTTTGTAGCAGGGCTTCAACAGCTTAAAGAAGATATTTGTTTGTTGCGTAGGACCTCGTTTTCGATGTACAAGCGGTGTCAAAGATTTATGTTTTTTTTTGTGTTTTTCAAGTTTTGTCACTGATTCATTCATTCACACACCTTATGATATAGCTTTCTATCATTCCACAGATACTCTAATCTCTAATCAAGTATTGCGAATTGTCAAACAAACTGTGTTCGTCGAAAAATGAAGATTCATTACAAAAGTACATTGTTTTTGACGAAATCCATGAAGTTTTCGAAAAACATGCAAAGAGGCAAAATGATTCCAAATAAGAGAGAGAATCTAAATTGATGTATCATTGAAAGCAGAGGCAACATTCAAAAAAGTTCAGGTTTAAATTGGGTATAACTCCCAAGAATGTATCACCTTGTGGGTAATCGAAAACGCGTAATAGCCTCAAATATTGAGTTTTTGAAGGGTAATAGATATACCAAATTTCAATTCATTATAGAAAACACTTGTTCATATGAAATTTTCCTCTCAAAAATATATGTTTTATATAAGCTGTTGAACTCCTGCTGCAAAAACTGACTCACCCTGTAGAATTAGCTGATATTTTCTTGAATTTTTTTGGTTTTCGAGAATTCAACTTCTTATTGGAACATTCTCGGAAGAGAAAACAAAACGATTTCATAGTTTTCTGATCTGATCAATGGAAGCTTTGTTAGAAATATGGGGGTCTCTCCCTACATTTATATCCGAAGCAAAATCATATGATAATTGACATAATAGCACATACGATTAGAGCTTTTAAGTGGGTGTAACTGGGTATTGAGGTCGACCAATTGGCTCAGAATCGCTTTCCAGGAGACCTTATATATGCCGAACGAAATATACAAGCAAGAAGATATTCTTGGAATAACAAAATAGACAAAATTCCCGAAGTGGAATAGTATAGAAGGTAACAGGGAGAATCAAAATCAATGTCATTTTGAAAAACTGTTGAATGAAATTATCAACAATGGTAGATAACTACTTCCTTGACACCATGTGGATCATCGCGAATAGGAAACAATAGGAAACATCCTCCTGAAATTTGATTTGAAGTCTATATAGTACCGCCTAACCACCTGGCAGAATATAAAAAGTAGAAGCACATTGTCTCTACCATCGTTGTTCTTGTTCATTTTATTGAATGAACGAATAGTAGACGCAAGAGGATTCTCTTGGAATTACAAAATAGACAAAATTCCCGAAGTGGAATGATATGGTAGGTAACAGAAAGAAACAATAAAATCAATGCCATTTCGGAAAAAATGGTCAATAAAATATTCAAAAATGGTAGATAACTACTTCCTTGACATTGCCATGTGGATCATCGCAAATAATAATTGAAGTGTATATTTTCTTAAATGCCCCATTGTTCTTGAATTGAAGTCTAGTAACGCCTATCCACCTGCAGAAAGTAGAAGTGCATTGTCTCTACCAGGAATAACCTTTCTTGGGAAAATCACGTGAGATCAATTGCTAAAAATGCATCCCAAAAACTTGGTTTTCTGTTTCGGGCCAGGAGCTATTTCACTTCCAGTCAGCTGCTTACGATCTATCAGGCACAGATCCGATTTGTCCTGGAATACTGTTCCCATATTTGGAGTGCAGCACCCAAACATAACCTGAAACTGTTGGATTCTCTCCAAAAAAGGGCAATTCGTCTCGTAGGTAATGCCTCGCTCACAAACTCACTTTTCTGGGACACCGTACAAAAGTTGGCGATCTGGCTTTATTTTATAGATATTTTCATGGATGATGCTCTTCTGAAACATCAACAATTGTTCCTCTGGCAGTCCCCGCGAGATTAACCCGTCGAGTTGAGGCTTCGCACCCCTTCGTGGTCACTTTGGAGATCTGCAGAACATCTTTTTCCAAAGACTCGTTGATCCAATGAAGCGAGGCCAGAAATTTGAGAAGAACACCAATTCCTACCTTATTTCCCTTGGTTCTCACGATGTTCTCTGAACATTACAGGATATCCCTTTTCGTGGGAACCAGAACATTAAAAAAAAATAGCTCAGTTCATTCCTCACTGCCCCGAATTTCTTGTAGAGAAGAAAGCTATGGATCAGAAGCCATGGGCAGCATCAACCACAATCACCGCATTCGAAAGAGCGCGCTGGAGACCCAGAATTGTCCAAGTGCCTTCGGACCCGGACCCGACCCCGGAACAGACATGGAAATAGCTCCAGTTAAGCCCAACCAGGAAATTTCGAACAGCGACAATGACAATGGACGGCTTCCGGACGTCGTAGTCGAAACAAGGATCTACGATGAGGAACAATGCAACGAAACGTACCTCTCCATTGCCATACAGGTCTTCATCCCTTTCCTGATCGCTGGTTTCGGTATGGTTTTCGCTGGTTTGGTTTTAGACAAAATACAGGTCAGTAGTAACAGGGTGTCCCGAAATTACGTAGAAATATTTCAACCTCCGATTCTAGGAACCAAAATAGTGAAAAAAAGTTCATGTAAACTTGGCTTCAGAAATGCCCCCTGAGAGGTTATAGCCATTTGAAGGAGAGGCTGATATGACGGTTTTTTGTAAATATTTTCGAATCCCTCTATGATAAAATAACCGAATTTTGTTGAATGTTAAGCATTTTCCGACATTTTCATCAGAGACGTAAGAAATAGGTGGGGCTCGGTCCACTTTTTACTTGAAAATGGTACTTTTGTTTTTTTTCGATATAGCACTCACTATTTTCGAAATAAAACAATTTTAAAAGTCTGCTGTCTAATAAAAATAGTAATTTTTCTCAATAGGGTCAAACACATGAACAGAAAAACTGTGCGAGATACCAATAACTGTTTTCTGGGATGGTCGACTTTTCACATATTTGAAATCTAAAAGAATAAAGTCGGGTCTCATTCAGTATACTTTTTTTTAAAGTAAACAAAACTATCTCCTCCATTGTCTTGATATTCTTCATTTCAAACCCTCTTATAAAAAAGTTACGTAGGCCCCTGATCCCAGAGAAAAAATTGTGAATGCTCCTGTCACTTGATTCTTGAATTTCGAAATTTTCACACCACCTATCTCCGGCTCCCTAGGAAAATTTTCAGCTTTCTTGTTGTATTCACCAAGTTTGATGTAATAAAAAATGTTCGGTAAATTGACAGGGGTCGAAAAAACTAAACAATAATTATTCGTGATTTGTTTACATCGATAGAGAGAATCAGATCCGCTCAGAGGCGTACCTGTTTTTTTTTCTGGTGGAGTCAAACATAAATATTTCGAAATCTCGACGAAATATATTCATTCTATGGGTATTTCTAGAATTGCATCCAAAATGTAGGTGTAGAGCAGGTACCAGCTCCTAGAAGTTTTTAATAGAAGAGCTTGATTTAAAAAAGTCAGGAATGCACATTGAATTATTCATTGAGAATGGACAATCTCTGAACTACAGATAGTAAATATATAGGGTGTTCAGGGGAAACATTATTATTTTAAAAATTATAGAATAACTTGGGTCAAACATTTACTAAAAAATTTGTTGTTGGTGGTGTTATCAGTGATTGCATGTCATTATCAATTATTACTGTATTTTTTTCTAGTGTCACTTCGAAAACTTTATGATTCAGAATGATAAAAAGTGAATAAGTGGAACACAAATCTTTTCAATAAGAGCGAGTAACACAAAAGCCGTTAGATTCAGCCAATTAACAAAAGAGTATACATTTTCTATTTAAAATTGAACAGACTTTCAGATTTAACCATTATTCAAGACCAAGAAGATATAATGTTAGTGCCACTAGCGTCCTCTAAGAGCAATCACGAAATAAGTTACAAATTCGTATTTCTCATGTCAAAAAACCTGAAACTACGAAATTTTATGTTCATGCTGTACAAAGTTTGAATAGAATCTTCCCCTTCAACACCCCAAAATAAGCATAATTTTTATAACACATCCTGGACTGAATCTTCATATTTAGGTGTACACTATCTGTAAGTTAGGAGATTGCCCATTCTTAATGAATCACCCTGTATAGTCGAATCACTGAATAATTTTTCAGCACTGGCCTGTATTTGAAGAGATAACAGAACTAGTTATACTAATTCCGGCCCTTTTGGGTCTCAAAGGAAATTTAGAGATGACTCTGGCATCAAGATTATCAACCCAAGCAAATTTGGGACACATGGATACGACCAAACAAAAATTGAATATTATCGTGGGGAATTTAACTTTGATTCAGGTAAGACTTTCAATTGGACGAAATAGTCATCACACACCTTCCAACATTATTTTGATTTCTGAAATGACTTCTTCACCACTACCAACGCATTCTATTTTTTCCAGTGCCAAGCAATAGTTGTTGGTTTCTTGGGAGCCTTAGTTGCAGTTGTGATGGGTGGAATAAAGAGTAATGACGTTGAACTAGACCACGCTTACCTTCTATGCGCAAGCAGCTTAGTGACCGTTTCCATAGCCAGTTTCGTTCTAGGATTAATAACAGCTGGAGTCATTGTCTTATCCAGATATTGCCATATAAACCCAGACAATGTAGCCACCCCAATCGCAGCTAGCTTAGGAGACATCACATCACTCACCCTACTCTCGTGGGTTTCAACAGTGCTCTATGATTCCATTGGTGAGTGTAAAACCTAAGCACTTATGCAACTTACCTATACTCTGAAATTCCAGGAACCCAAGATTGGTTAGCTCCGCTCATAATAGCAGCTTATATCCTCGCAATACCTCTTTGGGTCTGGATAGCTAAAAGGAACCTGCAAACTCGTGATGTTTTGTACCATGGCTGGACCCCAGTCATGGGGGCGATGCTCATAAGTTCCATGGGCGGTCTCATTTTGGACTTCATGGTCTCCCGATTCGAAGGAATAGCAGTCTACCAACCCGTGATCAACGGAGTCGGAGGAAATTTAGTCGCAGTACAAGCTAGCCGGATATCAACAGCGTTGCACAAACAAGCAGAGCTAGGCATTTTGACTCCGGAGGACGACTCTGACGAAGAGAAGGTTATATTCATCTCACCAGTGACTGGGTTTTGTGGGAAAGGCACGCACGCTAGAACCACGAGAGTCCTGATGTCCATGGTCATCCCTGGTCACATCATCTTCATCTATACTATTGATTACATGAAAGACTCTGGTTCGCTCAGTTCGTGGTTCGTGGTGGTTTATCTGTTTGCAGCTGTCATACAAGTTGCTACCCTTTTGTATGTAGCATACATTATGATCCATTGGATGTGGTTGAGAAAAATCGATCCGGACAACTCAGCTATTCCTTATTTGACATCTATTGGAGATCTGCTAGGAATATCACTGCTAGCTATTGCATTCCAGTTTTTGTATCTGATCAGTGACCATGATCCTGATGCAGAAGGCAACTGAGAACACCCTCATCAGGAACGAGCCAATTTCAGATTGAGTACCTTCGATTCTTTATTCAGGTTTCAAAACGCTTATTCCTTGTTTCAAAATATCCACTCATGATTCAAAATATCCATTCATAATTCAAAATATCATGCTTGATATGGTTCTAGCATAAATTCAACATAATTCAATCCAATCGTTTTGGTCAAGTTTTGGAACTTGTTTGAATCCGTATTGTGATAATAGTAAGCGACAATAGTTGATAGATATGGGATATTGAGATAATGCCAAGCAAAAACCAATTATTTTTTGAGAAAAAAACGGATATTAGTTCAAATTCCATGGGTGTATTTTTGTTAATATATATTTTATTTTTATGAGGCTATTCTTTCTTGTACCTGTTCCTTCACAAAAATAATGAACTTATTGATACCCAGGCCCTCATGAGAAACTACAACTACAACACTATTTAACAAAGCTACTAATAAGGTTTCTAAAGTCACTTTTTTTATGAAGGGTCCGAAAATGATCTTTTGCCAAGGAAAATTTCAAGCGACGCCACTGGCACAAATCGATTCCAATAGACCAATCAGAACAATCCGAAAGAAGCGCCTGCGTGTTGACAAACTTCTATAGATAATGTGCAAAAAACAAAAAAATAATCCATGTTTCATGTGTGTCGACTAAATTCTTTCTCGAAAAGGAATATTCCCAGAATCGTGATTGGGTTTCCTCAATTCAGAGTTGCTTTCCACGACCTGAATGATGCAGTTCAATTCATCATATACTATAAATGAGTTCTTTCTTCATACAATCATTTTTCAGTACGGGTTTGCATCAATGATTGAGTGCCACACGTGATCATTTTTGACGTTTTTGATGATGCGTTTCTTTTTCACCCCAGTTCATTGTTTTACCCACGCCCCACTTTAAAGATGGGCAAAATTTTTTCTTGCATAGTAATCTGTCAGTTGTCACCTGGTTTTCAATCATTGTTGAAGACCAAGAATTCACAAAAGTATCTCGCCAGCCATTCAATTAGTAACATGCTGCCGTGCTGCGGAAAATCATAAGGTTATCGGACGATTCTAAAGTTATTATGAGAAAGAAAAATATCGTTTCTACTTCTACCAGAGATAGGTAACTTATCTCTGCTTCTACTTTTCACCTAACCCGGCCTGAATGAATCTCTTTCCTGAAAAGTACATTTTTTGAAAAATTGCTTAGGTGAAAACAGACGGTTGTATAAGTATGAGGATTTTTTTATCGCTTGGAGCGCACGAAAGGGAATCCCTATACTGTTCAAAGAACATCGTGCCTTCCTAGGGAGGATAGGGATAGGAGGTAGGTATTGGAATTTTTCTGCATGAAAAAGCGACTTCTTCAAACCGAACTCGTCCTAAATGATCCTTTTTCAGAGGAGTATATTTTTCGAAAAATTATACGTGAACGAAATTAAAAAGAAAATTGAAAAAATGTAACGCCTCGCAGGAATTTGAACGCGAGCCACCGCCGTGGAAGTCAGATTAACAGACCACTTACTATCGTGCTACTCTAAGGTTCCAAATATGAAGAAAGAAGAAATGTGTTGGCTTGTTTAACACAACAACAGCACAGCAGCATGCTACTAATTGAATTACTTGCGAGATACATGTATTTCTTTAGTCATGGATTACCGAAGGATCGATTCAGAAATCACTGACAACGTGGCAGCACTGTGTAACACTCAGTGGCGTGCACAAATCCGTTGTGCCCAAACATATATGTAATTGAAACCAATCAGAGCGATTTGTGCAATGGCAGAAAATTCGAATAACAAACATTTTCACATCATAGTGAATAATAGCCAATACCCTCAATTGGCGCGGAATCAAGTCTACAGAAAATTTCGGTACGAGAGCTACGCTCACGGCCAATCATCACTATCGGCCTCAACAATAAATGCCTCCGTCAGTACTTTTTTCAGGGAGACAGGATTATATCCCTTCTGCATAAGCAAAGAGGCTACTTTTTTAAATTGACCTGAATGAACGTTCTTTCTAAAAAGTATATTTTTCGGAAAATCACTTGAGAAAACAGAAATAAAACACTGATAACTTTGAGTTTCTCCGCAGCACGGCAGCATGCTACTAATTGAATGACTGGCGAGAGACTTTTAAAATCGATCTTTGAAAATATCGTTAGTCTCATCTAACATCTCGATTTTATGGTGACGTCGTGACGTGATGACGCAGATGACGGGCCACACCACAAGCGCTGACTTTGACATCCTTGGTGGGAGGTTTTTTATTTCATTTCATTATTAGAATTCTTAAGGAATGTCAGTATAAGTTTAATTAGTACGCCAGTGCGTCTGTTTTTAGGACGTTATTATTAAGTGAATTGTTATCGTTAAAGAAATACAAACATGTTCAGCTGGTTGTCGAAAGATAGTGGCAAGCAAGAAGTGTACCAAAGTGTTGTTGAAGGACTCAAGCAAATTTACAAAAACAAACTTCTACCTCTGGAGGAATCCTACCAATTCCATGACTTTCACTCCCCAAAGCTGGAAGAATCGGACTTCGATGCAAAACCGATGATATTGTTAGTAGGCCAGTATTCAACAGGCAAAACAACTTTTATAAAATATTTGCTGGAGAGAGAATTTCCTGGCATCCGCATTGGTCCGGAGCCTACGACTGATAGATTCATTGCTGTGATGTATGATGAAAAAGAAGGTATGATACCTGGCAATGCTCTTGTGGTTGACCCAAAGAGGCAATTCAGACCTCTGTCCAAGTTTGGCAATGCTTTTCTAAACCGCCTTCAATGTTCCCTAGTGGATTCACCAGTATTACAGAACATTTCGATTATAGACACTCCTGGTATCTTGTCTGGGGAGAAACAGAGGGTAGACAGAGGTTATGACTTCACTGGGGTACTTGAATGGTTTGCTGAAAGAGTTGACCGAATTATTTTGCTATTTGATGCCCACAAGCTTGACATTTCTGATGAGTTTCGAAGGTCTATAGAAGCACTAAGAGGACATGATGATAAAATCAGAATCGTATTGAACAAGGCTGACATGGTGGACCACCAGCAATTGATGAGAGTATATGGAGCTCTTATGTGGTCACTAGGAAAAGTACTGCAGACTCCAGAAGTGGCTAGGGTGTACATTGGGTCTTTCTGGGACCAGCCTTTGAGATATGATGTCAACAGGAAGCTATTTGAAGCTGAAGAGCAAGATTTGTTCAAAGACTTGCAATCACTTCCTAGGAATGCTGCTCTCAGAAAACTGAATGATCTCATCAAAAGAGCTAGACTTGCAAAGGTGCATGCTTATATAATTGCTGAGCTCAGAAAAGAGATGCCCTCTGTCTTTGGGAAAGATTCCAAGAAGAAAGAATTGATCAAGAACCTTGGTTCAGTCTATGACAAATTGCAAAGAGAGCATCAGATATCTCCTGGAGATTTTCCAGAAATCAAAAAAATGCAAGAGGTCTTAGCCAACTTGGACTTCAGTAAATTCAATCCACTGAAACCCAAACTCTTAGATATTGTTGATAGAATGTTAGCTGAAGATATATCAGTTTTGATGGCTAAGCTTCCTTTGGAAAACCAAGAACAGAGCGCAACTAATGGTAATAATGGCTCAGTTCAAGGAGGTGCATTTACTAGTGTTGATGATATGGCATCTCCATTTGGATTCAAAAGGGGAGAAGGTATTGATGCTGGAGCAGGAGAGTTAGACTGGATTGTTAGCAGAGAGAAACCCAAATATGATGAAATATTCACTAGCCTGTCCTCTGCAGATGGAAAAGTCACTGGAATGGGTAAGCTTTCAATAAGTTCATCCTGAATAGGTACCTATTGGGAATTGAAATGAAATGAATATGTACTGAATAAGCCTTTTTCAACCTTGAAATGAACAAAAGGGTTACAATTAACTGTTCCTTCATCCATGAAGAATCAATCTGTTTTGGTTTTAAATTTGTATTGAGTATTTTATGTAAAAGATTAAATTCATTATTATGAGTTATTGCATAGTCAAAGACTCAGGGCCAGCAGACTGGACTTGAAAACATTTATTTTTCCATGAACAAACTATTTACATATAGTCAATGTATGTTTGTTTAATTTTATAGGTAAGTAATGTGTTTTTCATTGAAGTGAGAGCAATAAAAAAATGTCAATCATTATGATTTAGGTGAAAATCTTTATGAGATTAATGGCTTGGAACCATTTACTATATACCTAAATAGACTTTTCAGTTTGGAAAATAGCATATTATATAACTGGAAGGTGTACCTATCTTATCTGATTGATTAGTCATCTGATTATATACATGGAATTGAATAGAAACAATTTGGTGATTTCAACATGTTTCAGTGCCAATATTGAAAAATTTCACAACATTAAATAATAGCTATAGGAGTCATAAATGGAAAAAATGTGACCCATTGTTGAAATTTGATATGATTTATGAGCATTTTCTTCATTTTTCTGTTCTGATTATTTGTTCATACTGCATAGTTACTCAATTTTTATCATTATTACTGAATAAACAAACATAAATGCAGTGATATCGTCTGCCAATTATTTGATCAGTTAATATAGAATGTTTATTTTCACTTCACTATTTTATTGATCAATTCATTAAATATCATTAGGTATACCTAATCAATTGTTATAATATAGTACATTCAGGTCAAAGTTGTATGTAAGTAAGTCAGTAGGTATCTATAAATTTTTTTGTAAGTTCCAAATAGTATATCTATGTATGTAGCTACCACTTCAACAAATTTTCCTGGAATATTTGAAATGCTACTTGTTTCAACATTCTTAGTAAATAAATCATTACTTTCAAAGATAATATACAGTAATCATTTTAACACATGTTTCTGAAATCACTGTGAGTCAGAATCAACATATTTTGAGGACATACCAACTTCACAGTTGGAGTTTATGGCATAATTACTACCTATAGATAGAATTCTCATAATTTAGTAACTGATATTGTATTCAACTCAATTGATATCAGTTTGAAGGTCTTAGATAAGGAATGAGTTGTGAAAAATAACCTACTTGAATTCCTCATACAGACTGCCTGTAAGCTGTAAATAAGACATCTTTTATTGGATTTTGAATAGAGAAAAATAAAAATACTACATACTGATTATTTTATTAATCATGGCTACCTGACTCAGCAACTTCTACATAGTTTGATAATGAAGTTTTTAAAAACATTTTATTCAATCACTACACTGTCTGGTGTTGTGGTTGACATTATTTGTGTTTTTTTTTAACCTAATCAGCACATTTCTTAACCTAAAAATATTCCATATGATGCAGACTTTACTAGTGAGACTATATTAGTGGAAAGAGATTATCTGACCTAGAGAGAAAAGAATGCTTGAACTCATATCTTCAGTTATAATTAAATATAAGTCATTACTCTCAACAGACCAACAGTCTACAACAAGCCAATATTTTTTTTTCAGCTGCCAAAGCAGAAATGGTAAAATCCAAGCTTCCTAACTCAGTACTGAGTAAGGTATGGAAGCTAGCTGATGTGGATAAGGATGGTATGTTGGATAATGAAGAATTTGCACTGGCAATGCATTTGATCAACATCAAGATCGACGGTAATGATTTGCCATCTGAATTGCCAGCTCATCTGGTACCGCCATCCAAGCGCTGATTTCTTTCCTATAGAGTCCACAAGTGCTATTTGTTATTCATTAGAGTCGTGCCTAAATTAACTTCATATGTACACCAATTTCCACAGCTTGGTTCAATCTGCTGGCAAAAGGTATCACTGGAAGATATCCAAATTACCACTCATTTACCTTGCATTAACTCTCCATTCAGGTGACCATTTTTATGTTAGAAGTATTTTTACAGTGTACCTCACAATATCATTTGAGAGAAAAATGTGTGTAACAATACAATTTCAGATGGCTGTGAGCTGTGATGTAAATGAATGGCACATTTGAGGTGGTATTTATTAGGTTGGTATGCACAAATATAGTTTGTTCAAATGAGTTTCCCTATTCAAGTATTGATTCCTTTCCCTTTGAATAATGGACTTTAATTTGTCTATTTTCGAATATGATGATTCAAATATTAGAATAACTGGTTTTGTATGTACTAAATTCAGGCTGCCTAGGCTGGAATTTTGTTATCACACACTGTTTTTTGCAACAAAAATGTTGTTCTTTGCATAATCAAGTTGGATCAAGGTTGGTAGAACTGATAAATTATATAGGAAGTTGTAGAGATGTATATTCTATCATGGTGGATGGTTATGCCTAGAAAAGATGAATTCAAAATATGTGAGTAGCATGCCATATTATATTTCCACCATGTATTTTATGACTTTCTTCAAGTAAATTCACTAATTCAAACATTATTATCATCTGTGAACCTAAGTGGAAATATTCACTATTAGGGTTATTATATCAGGAATGACCACTTCCACTTCATAATTAATCAATTCTACCATCCTTGGGTTTGCTGGATTTCAATTCATGGCTGATATCTAGGTAGAACAATGTGATAAAAACTAAAAATTCGTACTATGTATATTTGTATTATATAACATTGTAGATAAGTGATTCCATTGGCAACACCTAATGGTTGGGGCTCTAAATTCATCCACTGCCCAAAACGGTGAATTTAAATTATTACAAATCCTAATATATATTTTTGTATATTATTTAACACCTGACTGTAATTAGTTATTAAGCACTTGTAGGAGAATTTTAAAATTTGTTAATATTATTATTTCATATCATATTATATTATTTGTTTTTCTCCATTATTCATTAATCCATAGACTTTTTATGTTTCCCTTTCATATAAATTAAATAATTTATAATGAAGCATGATTTTATTTATTCCTGATATATAATTCAGAACAAAAAATTGATGCATTGATTAATGGATACACCAATCATTTTGTTACAAATATAAACAATAATTTCCTATTAACCTAGATTCAGTGGTAGTGTTATGGATTGAATTCCATACAATTCACCTATGGATGTCAACTCATTGAAACTGGAAATAGTTTTTTATTTTTTCATTTTGATCATATCAATCCAGATAATATGAAGCTGAAGTACCAATATAAACTGATAACTGATACTGAATCATGGGTCACTACATGATGACATAATCAATTATTGATGTAAGTGAACGATAAAATATATCTGATATACAAACAGAATCAGGCACTTGACATTTCCTTCCACACAAGCTATTACTCATAGTATTTTCGAGTTTAAATATTTGTTTCAGTGGACAAATTGAAGAAATGCAATGTCTTTTTTAAAGTGTATGATGGCAAAGTTGGGTTATGTGTGGTGCTAAGTACAATGAACTCAAGTTGTATTGAGTTCATTGGCTAAGTAGCAGATTACGTGTATTACCTACATCATGATGTATGCAACCCACATTTCACCTAGCGTAATTTATAATTGCCTACCGATCCTGTCGTCGCTAGACAATGTGACTTGTAATCTTTCCATTGACGGATCTGTTACTTGGATTCAGGGGGCAACACCCTGTCACAAAATGACCTAATTATAGTGATACGTAATACTGACGAAGATAATATATCACTGCGACTGATCTCTTTCTGGAAATGAGGAGCACCTACATTATTTTTTGTACGATGAAGTATGTGTGCGAATTCCCACTCTCCGGAAAATATGAATTCTGGGCTGGCAAACCTGGAACAATTCAAAATTCATAGAATTATTTGCCTATGACAACCTAGTATTTTTTAATGTATTCTCAAATCACAAAAGTGCATATAATAGCTATATATGTATAGTATATTAAAGCATTTCAATTATAGGCATCATCAGTATATATACATTTCAATTATCCAAAAGCCTGAGTACCTAATTAGTATAATTATTGTTCTATATTTGATTTCGAGTTTTGCATAACAAAAACTTCAAAACTGTAGTAGGTACCAATAATCATCCTGTATATAAACTCAACTCCAGAAAACATATTTCGGCATCAGGTTCTTGTGGCAAAATGATATTAAGTAATGAATGAAAAAACGCAGTCAAAATTATTATCATTATTACCTATCTATACAAATTCATCAAAAAAAAATGGGTACACTTTGGAGCTATATGAATATGAATCATTTCAGCAATAATTGCAGCAGACTCGAACAAATGGTGACAGTGTGCTATTCAATGTATTAGTCATCGCTATCGTTCTGTTCCTAACGTAGAGGACATGCGCGATACGCACAAGTTCAAAAGGAAACGACCAATGGTAAAATAGACATCGCAATGCAGGCATGATGTGAATGGTTTCTGTGGCGATGACTCATACAGTCGTTCCTCATATTCAGCTCTTGGCACATTACAATCTGAAGATTGTAACAAACGGTGAAGATAGTAGTAAAGTTCCGTGGTTTTGATTTATTTACATGTTAGGATAGATTGGACTGATAAGGAACTTATACCTAACATGTTTCTCGCGGAAAGTGCGTATGGTTGCAGTGAAAAGTTTTACATTTTTATCTACATAAATGTTAATTGAAATACCTGTTGTCAACTCTATTTGGATTATAACAACTTTGTGACAGCACAGAAGAGGCGGGTTATTTGGTAAGGGCCCACAAAAACCTTTTTATATTTCTATTCCCTGGCATCTGGATAACTATTTTCATGTATAAAGAGTGAAACTACTAAACGAAATCGATATTGGTATAGGCATATATCCATATAATTCCTACCTAGCGGTTCATGAAGAAATACCCTCGGAAATACCTACCCATCTTATTATCACATACCTATACATACTTAATACATAATATAGGATATACCTATCTACCTAGGTACTATGAAAAATGTATGAATGTGTAGTTAATTACCCATATTGTTTTTCTTTCTCAGCTTCTTCTGTATATTAGGCACCTACGAAGGTATTAGCTCATCCCGAAGCTTATTCAATCATAGCATTATTTGATCTTACTATACACATATACATAGATTAAAGACCACACTACATATGGTATTTGTACGTATTTATAAAATTAATTCACTCATATAAATCCCCAAGCATTTTTCTTCAACATTCAAACTAAAACGTAAATATCCTGCTATAAATACTAGATATACCTATATTCCTCGAGATGTACTAATTGACTACCTCCAGGCGTGCTACTACTATACTGTTCAACTCTTACTATCTACCTATGTCCTACAAATACCTATCATATTTCCACCACCAAGTAGGTACCTTACTCTTTGGTACTTACCTACTTGTAAGACTTACCTATCTATTTAGGTACCATAGATTGGTAGGTATATGAAATAACTAGTTTAATAGTTTAATACCTAGGTACCTACCTATAATATGTGACAGGCATCAGAATTGATTTTTATTTGAAAATTATGGTAAAGAAATAAATTAGGTATTTATATTTAATTGTAATACTGGTTTCACTTTTTCTTCATATACATGTGTCCTGAAATTCACCCCCTCTAAGCTACAGCCACTGTTATAGTTAGGTAAAGAAAAAATATATTCTGAAACTCCCTGTCCTTTTAGACACTTTCTTTCATTCTTTCTTTAAAAATTATGTCCTCACTTTTATTGATCGAAATGGACACCTGTTCATATGAAGAAGACATTCTTATTTTGATCCCAACAATACATATTTATCAAACTATACATTGGTGAAGACAAATGTGTTTATGGATTGAAGCAGAGTAAATATCACAGGAATGAGAAAATATACTTTCAAAAAATGACCGAAAAACCGATTTTGATTTTGAAAAGTCAGTTTGTGGTTTGTCACGCTTTAAGGAATCACGCTGTAAAAATTCTGATGAGGGCTGTGGAAAGGCTTTATTTCAGCATTCAACTTCCTCATATCGTTTGTTTTTCTCCATAAAAAATAACGTGAATATAGGGGTCGGCCTTCTCGATGGATAACCCTCGGGATAACCCTATACCCGAGCGTGTACCTTTATCTTTTACATGCCACCGAGCATTCCACATACAGGGTGTTCCATCTCAAGACGAGCCACCCCATACATTTCTTATCCCATAGTGAGTGGAAACATTTTTCGAAACACGTCGAATGGTTTTGTTTGCGGGACATCGTTTGACGTATATTTTGGAGGACAATTTGATTTAAACACGCAGATTTGATTTTTTTGATTGTAAGCATGATAAAACGATTCCATGCGAAAAAATAGGCAATAAAGAATAACAAAAGAACAAGAAACAAACATTGAAATGCCCTACAAATCTTGTTATATGTATCTTGAAACGCACAATACACTATGAGGAATAATAAATGAAGGATAAAAAATAATGTTTTTATTCCATATTCTTATTCCTTCAACCTTTCGACCAATGCAGTGTCATTCATAAATTTGGCATCATATTTCGCATCATATGTGAAAATCGGGGACAACCTTGTATTAATAATTCATCTTGGAATTCAACTTAGGCGTAACTTCTGCCTCAAAAAAGATATTAAAAATTGCCTACGGGGTCGGAGTCACGTGACTTTTGCTACATGTCAAAAGTTGATTTTTTTTCAGCTAGTCCAATTTTAATTTCATACATGTTTCTCGAATTCGAACGTTTTATTACAATTTTTAGTTCTTGATATTTTTTGATTTCTTCTAATTATTGTAACTTTCGACAAAATTGTCCTAAACTTTGGTTAGATACGTAAAGTAGTTTGATGATATTTTGAAAGATAGGCACGCTTGGGCATCATTTTAGTACTGAAAACCAATTTCAACAAATTTCGCTCCTGAATGATAGAAAATATACTATAGCTTGTCAGTGACAATTTGTATTGAAAAAGGTTTAGAGAAGAGAAATAAAGGTATATAGAAAAAATATCTAATTTTCACTTATCTTTGGACGTTTCGGGAACGAATCTGCTCCCGTTTTCAACATAAAAAATGGTTATTTCAATAGCAAATTCGTATTTGTCTTTAAACTTTTCAGTTCTCAGTGACAATTGGTGACGTTTTTTTTTTGCTATTGCATACCTCGTTCTCGACCTCGTTGGTCCCAGCACTGGGACCAAACGCCCCATAAGTCGAAACTCGTGCGGGGTTAGGTATACATACAAACACAAACATCCATGGCCTAACTAGGATTCGAACCTATGTCTCGGTGGGAGTCCCCATACGAACTCAGCGCCTTCACGCTCTCGACCACCGAGCCGTTGGCAATCAAATGAGTTACAGGATGTTTTCATCAATTAATCTTGAATTTACCATTTTCAGATTTCAGTAGTGAATACCATGTTCTATCTATATCAACTGAACAGTAAGCAATGCTATTGTCTTCGTTCAGAAGAATGCAAGCAGATTCCTCGATTTTTCTTTTCTGGATGTTATTTACTTTTCCAATGATTTTAATATTATTCCACTCCGCCATATGTCGTCAATCTTCAGTAAGGATATGTTCAGCTAGTTTCGATTTGTTGATGTGTCTTTTCTTTATATTGTTCTTATGTTCCTTCATCCTTACTGAAAGAGGTCTCTTGGTTTCACCTGTATAAAACTTTCCACACAAGGTATTCTGTAAATACAATTTTTTGACGATTGTTCTTCATTTTTCGGCTTTGTTTGAGTAAGAATTGATCCCCATTGTATTTTCAGTTTTGAACACAGTTTTCACTTGAAATTCATCACCAACACGTTTAATTTTTTCAGATATGCCGGGAATGTATGGTATTATATTTGTCGTTATTGATGGTTGATTTTGTTGTGGTTGACCTTGTTTGTTTTCAATTTGATGAATCGTCCTATAGAAACGAGGAGAGAAAAACCCAAAAAATCTGGAATAATGAATGTACCACTTCCTCGATTAACCTACAGACAGTATTTGAGAATACAGTGCAGACTCGATAATCCAAACGTTCAATAATCCGAATTCTTCAGTAGTCCGAACAAGCATTTTTAATACATTGGGTACTCTATATATAATCCGAATTTCATAGTACTCGATAACCCGAGAACCTATACCTTTAGGCCTATTTATTTCCCATATAGAAATTGTGAGTGAAATGTTCAGGGATTCCCCTAATTGTTCAAAATTGTTAAGAACGCTGAAGCAGCTAAAAGTTTCAATCTGTGTTTGAACTATTCTTGTACTTCAAAGATTAAAAGAAATGGCCTTTATAAATAATCAAAGATGTGTTAAGCAAACAAAAATTACAAATTACTTTAGAAACTAGCATTATATTCTTACTTTTATGCATATTTTAGTGTTACTTTTTCGTATTTATGTTTTTTTTGCATTTCGTAACAAAAAATTAAAAAAAAAACTGCTTCGGTAATCCGAATTTTTTGGTAATCCGAATCGCCTTGGTTTTTATTAGTTCGGATTATCGAGTCTGCACTGTATTATCATAATCTTTATTTTATCCCTTATTCCCCCGTTTTCTATTTTCCATTTCTTATTTACTTGCATCGTGTCTCGACCTCAACACGCTCATCGCTCGCCTCTTCCAGATATAGACCGTTACGTCACCGCCATGTCAGTCTGCCTCGAGAGCAGTCGGCCGCGCGACGGCCTCAAGCTGCCTCTGAACAGGAGTTTCAGTGAGCCGGGTCCCCAGTCGCCCGCCGCCGTTTCCCTGAGTCCGCCCAAAAGGTTCAAGCTGGAAGGCTCCAGCGTCAGCCTGCCCTCTAGCCCATGCGCAGACAGCGCCAACCTTCAGCGCACCTGGGTGCTGAGCAAGGTCACGGCGATGGACGACGACGCGCTCAGGGCCAAGATGGAGGACCGCAAGCCGGGGGGCAAGCCCTACATCCTGCTGGACTGCAGGAACTTCATGAGCTACAACATGAACCACATTTCGGGCGCGATCAACGTCAATTGCTCGGACAGGTTCAACAGGCGGCGGTTGCAGCAGGGGAAGGCCTCGCTGGCCGATTTGGCGACCACGAGGGAGGGGAAGGAGGTGCTGAAGAAGAGGTCTTTCAGGGAGGTTATTATTTATGACGATTCTACTACTGATAAGGAGAGGATCACGATAGGGCATCCGTTGCTGTTGGTGTTGACTTCGCTCGTGGACGATCACAAGGAACCTTGCCTGCTTATTGGTGAGTTTTTTTTTTCGATTTTTAATTGCCTCGATGAAAGTAAACTTTCGGAGTAGATCTTTCTTATTATTGAAGATAGTAGAACGAAATTGGGGGGTTGTGAATTAAAGTTCAATTGACATTTTTTGACATCTTCTTGCTCTGCCGTACTTCCGGTTTGACCGGAATTGAACAAAACTTTCGATTTTCATATGGGATTTCCTGTACTTTATTATATACTCCGTTAGGAATTCAACGAATGATTTTCATTTTGAACTTCCAAGCTCATCAAGATCAGAGTTCATACAAGTATACTTCTCCTATACATTTCAATTTTCATTTCAATACTGAACATATTGGTAAGTTATATTTTTATGTAATAAATATTTGAGAGATAATCTCGGAGATAATCAATTCTCAATATCAGAGGATTTTGATTTTTCATGCTCTCTTTCTGGATATTCAACAGATATTCATTGTTCGACGTGGCAAATAGCCAGGAAAGTAGTTGTTTTTTGTTGAATTTTCAGAATGATATTATGTGAATATCTTTATATGAAGGAAAATGCAAATTCTCTACTTCAGAAGATTTTGTTTTCAAATTCTAATCGTGTGTGTTCAATAGATGTAATTCAATGTTCGTCGTGGCATATAGCCAGGAAAGTAGTTGTTTTCTGTTGAATAAACCAAGAAAGAATTAATATTTTTATCACATGGAGAATGCGTTGAGTTAACTTTTCAGGAGTACCTATCTATAGGTTCTAGGGTATTATTTTTCGTATGTGATTTCTCTGTTAATTTGTCCAATATATGAAAATTGAAAATATTTCACACGAAAAAAGGTTCACCACTTAGGTCCAGACGATTCAGTAAATAGGAGAAACTGTTTTCAAGGAAACTTGTGAAGTTGATAGATTTTATAAATGAAACTGCATTGAAATCAGAGTTGGAATATACTCGACATCTTTCATTTCAAAGTAACACCTCGTATAATAGTTTATTGTTTATTCATTCATTAAGTAGGTACCAATTCAAAAATCAACGTTTTGTTGGAGGTTTTGCGAGAGGTTATGTTTGAGATTTGCGTTTTGTCATCGGACATCATTTTAGAATGCTGGAATTCGTATTTCTCTGTAACCACTTTCCATTTATCTTGATTAAGTATCAAAATCTTGTCCATTAATGCTGAACGATTTGACCATTTGGCATATTAATTTTGTAAGTACAGAGTGTTCGAAATACAACTAGCTTGATACTGGTAGCTTGATGCAACTTGTTCCATTCCAGAGTCTTATAAAAATATTTAACAATGATTTCCAAATGATGAGATAACTGTTTATCCTCGTGTTTATCTCTCAAGATTGCTTGCCAATATTTAACATATATAGAAAAAGTGTCATTTGTATAACAATAACAATTTCAAGAAATACTGATTCTGTGTAAATTCGAGGACCTGTTTTGCGTTGATTTATGACGCGTCATAAAAGGAAGTTGTTTTTTCATTCACATCATGGAGCTATCATTTCTACGAAGGACAGTTCTCTTCTTGATAGTGATGTATGTTCTAAATAGAGCAAATATAATTAACATGAATGACTTGCACCTTCTTAATCTCTATTTAAGATGCGTAGAAAATATATATAATTTGTTTATATGATTTCTTGATAAATAAATCTGAATATTAACTAACCACTGTTATGCAATGGTATCTGCAGTGCATTCGCTAGTATTTAAAATGAAATCATCTATAAAAATAAGCTTGCCAATGATTTAGTCAAATAAACTAATATGACTATAGACTTTGAAAGTACCTATAAAGAATACCTGCTTGGTCTCAGGATTGGTAGATCCTAAGCCAAAACGCCAAAAGGTTTCTTGTACCCCTATGGATATCTCTCGAGATCTCTTTTATAATCAACTATAATTGTTGTAAAAGATTTGAATTCGATTGATTCTCGCAGTCTACTACCCAATCTACTACCTCTAATACATTTTTCAGAACTTTGTTGAAGTTTCAAATATTTAGGTAGGTATATGAAATGAGTTTTCGGGAAATGGAATTGAGTTGGAAGAAAATACCTTTTGGTTCATTTTCTTTCTGTGTCCTTGTTTTTTATTTCAGCATTGAGTTGATATGTTTTTTGCAAAAGATTTGTCCATCTTCTGAAGATTAACAGAGGAACCTTCTGATTCCACTCATTCCAAATCACTTTTAAATAAATAAATCCACCTTTGAATAGGTAATAAATAGTTCCCACTTCTGCTGTGAAAAACTACTATCTACTTATAATATCTAATACTTGCTCCTAGCTTTTCATATTTTCATTGAAAATCTCCACAATTTCTTTCTCTCTTCTACCTTTGGGTTCATTCACAGGTTTATTGGATTTCTGTCACCTTTCGGTAATAATTTCTCCATATTAGGTGATGGACTACCCCAATTTGCGGAAAATGATATTAGGAGTCAAAATACGGAATCAGTACGCCAAATTCAGTAACTATTCATATTTTTCCTGGAAAATTTTCAGTTCTGAAAAATTGAATTTTGTCTCACTTTTTACGGGAGCACCCTCGTATCTTACGTAATTGACTTTATCTTTGGACTTTTGCTTCCTCCTGCAAATTTCAGAACCCTACCTCAATAATTACGTGAGATACAGGGGTGCTTCCATGAGAAGTGAGACAAAATTTAATTTTCCTGAACTGAACATATGAATAGTTAGTAAATTGGGCGTCCTGATTCCGAATCCGAAGTGATTTTCAACCTATTTTGACTCCTAATATCATTTTCCGGAAATTGGGGTGGTTCCACGTCTGTTGGCGAGTAGTGTATATAACTGAAGACGACTCCACTTGGTCATAGAGTGCATTGTTGGTATATCTCTCGCTCCAGCAAATTTCAGGATCCTTACCCCATCATTACGTAAGATACCGGGGTGCTTCCATTAGAAGTCGTAGGTCACACTGTATGTGTTGTGACTGTGACTTGATTCCTGTATTTTGTATTTACTTCCTTATTTCGTTGGGTAGCCACTAGCCAGCCATAATTCAATATAAAACTCATATAAAAGGGCTTGGCAGCTTGCCATCGACATAACACGTCCTTGTCCGACGTCCGGAGACAAAAAATCTTTATTTATATTTGGATGACGAATCTCTTGAGTGTTTTGGTCATTTAAAGAGATCACTGTACTGAATTGGCACGGCATCCTGGGGCTATGACTAACGTCAGAACGTTTCTACAGAGTGATGTGAAAACCCCACCGTGACGAATCGACGATGCAAGGCAAGCTTCTTCACCAATCATGTTCATCATGTTGGGATTTTTGCGGTTTATGAAATAATTTAGTTGATTTCGCGTTAGTTCCTCAATTCTTGACATCTGGCCTCTCTGATGGTTATGATCATAGTGGATTCCAATAGGGTTTTCCCTATCGCAAATCTGTGAATTAAACAATGTTTTGTTTGGGTAGGTACCAGTGCCGGATTAAGCCTGCGCGGGGCCTCTACCAAATTTCTATCAAGGGACCCTTGGTTTGCTCTAGGTTATCAAGCTTAGAGTATTAAATAAAATAAAACAACACTATTACAAATAAACTTCTCTGATATTAGCTATATGGGCAAATTTAGAGATAACACTTTTAATATCGACTTCCTCAAGCAAATCATGCTCTATATTCATCAAAGTGAGATGATTGAGACATTCTTGGCCCATTGTGTTCCCTAAATCATTTTTGATTGGTTTTAATGTTGAAAAAAACGGTCGCCACTACAGGTAGTGATCATGAGATACAAGTAAATTCACAAGGCAATTTCTACGTTCGGGAAACACGATTCTAAACTTCTAAAGTATTATACAAGGAAAGTTTATAAAATTGCAGTTCCAGAGGCTCCTGTTTGGAAACATTAAATATACAGGGTGGTCTACATTTGAGATGACTTTTTTCTAATAGAACACCCTATATGTTATTTTATTTCTGAAATCTCCATGAAAAGCTGGATTCAAAAATATATCACCTGTTTCAGGAAGATTCCTCAGAGCTGGAAAGAATTCATTCAGTACTTTACGAAAGCACTTAATACAACGGATGCACTGAATCGAAACCCCCTGTGTGATATATTTTTGAATCCAGATTTCCATGGAGATTCCAAAAATGGAATAATGTATAGGCTGTTCCGTTTGAAAAATTATCGCGGACGCCATAATTCAAATGTGTATATTCAATGCCGACCTGTTTCAGGAGATGTGTTTTATGAAAATCAGTTTTTGGATCACCGTGTAGGGTATGTAACGTCGTATTTTCGTTTGTTTTGGTCGTTCGCCAGCTATGTGATTTTTCTTAGCTGCGACTTTTTGTTTATTCACCTCGATATACTTACGGAGATGACTAAGACACCATGTAGATATATCTATATTTTATATTTATAATACTTATATCCGAATCTTATTATAGCATCTGAAAATAATAATTATGCTTTCTAATTCTAATTTCTCGATAGTCATCTCGTATAGGTAAAGTGACGTGAAATATTGTTGGATCTCATATTTACCTTATGAAAATATGGATAAATAATTCAGAACAATACCTTGGTATAATAGGTTTTTGAATTGACGCACGAGATAAATACTTGATATTTTATCTTTTTTTATCTGACATGATGAAGCAGATGATACTGAATTGTTTTAGTAAAAAGAAACCAAAGAGGGCTTCCTGATTCCTGCATGTATGTAATTGTTTGACTTTAAAATTCTCGATTGATATAATATAAGTAGAAATACTGCAAACAGATCGAGCCCGAGCAAATTTGGTCAATCCGTTCTGGAGATATTGCATATCAAAAGTAGAATAAAAATAAACTTTCTCTTTATTTCCCCCCACCCTTTTCTACACATTGATTTCGATACTAATTTGTGTTTTTTTATCCCTTGGAGCGCCCAAAAGGGAATTCCTGCTATTATGTTCGAAAATCATCGTGTGTACCTTAAGGAACATAGAGAGGGAAGATAGGTATCGGATTTT